GTTGTACATTATTTGCTGCCAACTCTCACGCTATGTTCGGAAATTTTTTTATAGTTGTAGCAAAACTAATCCTTAAATATTTACTTCTGGTTTAAAATGGTAATTTGATAAAAAGATTAGCTGTTAATTGAAAATAAGGGGACAANAAAATAAATGGTACTTACGTATTATCGCAACCAGGTTGGCGCGATTTGTAAGTTTGAGTAAGAAAGTATGAATAGAAAGAAAATGTACATTTATTAATTACAGATAATTTTTAATACAGTTTTTTATATTATTTTGTTTTAAAATTATTTAAAGCAAAATTATTATTAATTAATTATTATTAAAATTATGAAATTATTATTAAAACAAAATTATTTATTATTATTTTGTTTCTTTACGAAAAACCACGTGTAACACGTAGGGTTGCCGTAAGTAGGGTCGCCAAATTTGGCGATTTATGCGAATTTGGGCCTGGTTGCGATAATACGTAAGTACCGTAATTTCTTGGGTTTATTTATTTAATAATAAGGAGGGATGGTACTTTTTTCAGGTTCACGCTTAATGTAACAGGACAATCATAAAATTTAAATTCCAATTTTCTTTCTGTTGCAGATTATTCGCTACCAACTCTCACGCCATTTTCCGAAGAATTTTTATAGTTGTAGCAAAATTAATCCTTTAATATTTGATTCTGATTTAAAATGGTAATTTGATAAAAAGATTAGCTGTTAATTGAAAATAAGGGGACAAACGGTTTTTTATCAATTTCCACAATATCTACGATGATCACCATTGATCAGGATTACTAAGTTTGTGACAAATTGAAAACGTGGGAAAACAATACCCTCTGAGAGTTGTGTGTGAAAAAAACCCGTGCCGTACTGTGAAAAAAAAAAAAAAAGTTGTTCGCGCGCAAGTTCGTTTTTCTCAAAATCAACTTTTATAGATAGTTTTTCCCCTTTGACCTTCAATTGATTACGCATATTCGCAACTAGTAAAAATTTTTCAACTTTCTAACCTTTTTTTTTAATATAATTTATTATTAATTATAATAATTTGACAATATTACTTAAGCAGGATGAAAGTTAAGTTTCCCCATTTAAATTAGATGTTTAAGTAGATTGAAAAGTATGCAATTGTAATGTAATCGGGCAACAAACTATTAATGTAAGTAATAACAATAATTACGCATAAGTAGTAATATTTAATTTTCATCACATCTGAATTCTGCGGCTTTACAAAAGAAACTCACTTAAGTATTATGCAATTTGGAAGTCGAAAAATGTAATTTAAACAAAGCCATAAAAAATTTAAATGAAGCAATGAAATTATGAAAAGCTATTTAAAAATTATCCCTTTTTACACACACAATCCTTCTCGCTTCAGTTATTTCCGATTGCAGAAAATATTTATTCTTACCCAATACAATTTCATATTGAAATATTTAAGGGGTTAATATTTACTGACAAAGCGTACGGAAATGTATGAGTTTTGCTTACTTCATGCCAATTACAGAATTTTTAATGCAGCACTGCGAATTTTTTTTTGCTGTTTTTTTTTTGGGCTTCACGTTTTTGATGAAACATTTTATTTTCATTAAGAAAATTAAATTAAATAATACGTATAGTTAAAAAAAAATTCTCTTTTAATGTTTAAAAAAATAAGTTTTACCAGAGTGTCTCATTTTATCAACGAACTAATTTAAATTAGAATCAAAATTCAAAGTTTAACTACATTATCTGTTTAACATTAGATTGCACAAGAAAGTCATTTTGACTGCTTTTTAATTTCAATTAGAAAAACAATGATTTTCTTGCTCATAAGCGATTTAAAAGATTTTCNAAATTTTTTTTACTGTTAATATTTACTAATAACTTGTTATATTACTGTAAATAAAATAAAAATATTAAAAATTAATTTTAAATAAGTTTCTTTACATAAAAGTTATTCTTTCACAATCATTTTGACTGCTTTTGGGCAATATAGGTTTCAGTCTTTTTAGTGTTAAAGAATTAGAAACAAAATCGAACACCATTTGTAGTAATAAAAGGTATAATAAAATGTTAACTGCTGTTTTCAAATTGTAATAAGTTATAACAATAAATAAAGAACAGTAAACAAGCAATGAAACATATTTAATATACAACCTTGAATTCGTGCAACAATATATTTTATTCATTTTTATTATCCTTCCCATGCGTTGAAGTGTAAATTATAATATTACCATACCATGTAGAAATCAAGATGAGTTAATTTATAGAAGGAAACATTAATTACTGTTTTTTAATTTTCTTTTTCTCTTTCTTCTTCCTAGCTCGTGTTTTACTTTTATTTGGCGTTTTGACACGTATATTGCACCTGGGAAACGTCGCCAATTATGCAGCCGAACGACCGGCAAAACGTGAATTCTTTTTCTTTAAGTAGACCGTTTTCAAGGACCTATTCTTGGCAAGAGATGCTAAAAAAATGTCTCATTCTTTAGATAGTTACGTCTTGCTCCCCTCAAGTCGGTCAAAGTACTTCTTGGGATAGGAAATTTCTAAAAAAGAGGGAAAAAGACTCAAAAATTGAGACAGTTAAAAAAAATGTAAAGGAAAAACTGTTCGTTAAACATAAATAATTCTGAAAAGCGTTTTGTTTTTTTTGTTGCATTTATTTATTTTACTAGGCTAGTTGCCGTTATTTTTAATTCTTTTTTTCTGAAATAAACACAAAAATGACTAAAAATGTTGCTAACAAAACCGTTTTGCGACAAACTAATGTCGAAAAAATATTATTGTAATTTAAACCAAAAAATAATTCCAAAACGTTTAATAAATTTAACCATCGATTTAAATAAGTTTATCTTACAATTTAGCACATTAAGGTAACATCTTAGAATAATACTATAATACAGAAACAACTATTTTAGTTTTTAACTCAGAAAAAAATAATCAAAATCAAAAACGCAATAATGGCAGAATATAATAGGAAAAATCAAATACTACGTGTAAAAATTTTTAAATTAGGGTTACGAATATATTTTACAGAAAAACGATACCTTTATGAATTTTATCCTGATGACAGCCAAAATATATAGAAATTATATAGGAGTATATAAATAGGAATTATGATTCTACCATACAATTTTCCAGATAATAAAAATGCGCCGACAACTTGGCTTTATAGAATTTTAAAGCTCGTATTAGAAAAACTTCATTAAAGTAACAATAATCTCTGGTTTAATAACGTTCCCATTTCTGATTGGCTGGTTGATGCATTTGAAGCGTTAAGACTTCGTACTGTCAATGATTTCATTGGATTCTGCTACATCATTATTCGATTTTTATATGTATTGTTAAATACCGCATGAAACCTGCTGGAGCAAAATAAAATAAACAAAAAATAATACATAGAGCGTAAAAATAACGTGTGTTAAAAGTATTTTTTTCCCGAAAATGATGAATGCTTTTTCATTTTTAAACTAAAACCATTAAAATGATTGCATAATAATACAGTTTGAAATAGCTAGGAATAAATAAGTTGGTGTGAAACAAGAATGTGACAAGTGAAATTTTAGAGAAGCGTTACTAAATTTTAAGCTAAAATTTTGAGTCGTCATCACTTAAAAGATTAAGTGCATAGAAGTCACAGTTTTCTAAAGCTGATATTTCAAGTTCACTATCTGTAACTTAGTATTGTTTCCTATTTGGTAATTTAGAAGTAACCAGAAGACAGATCAATACTTAGAAACATCGTATTACTTACTTGATAGTCTTACATAGTGTATGTGAATGTTTTTTTTTTAAAGAATGCCCGTTTTAGCATTTCGAAAATGTTACTAACGATGGCCGTGATGGCTCAGGGGATAGAGAGTTCGTCTTTCAATGAGGTGAACCAGGTTCGAATCCTAGCTGTGGCTGGTCGATAAGAATTCCGCATCCGGCTTGCACCGACAGTGTTGACGTAAAATATCCTCAGTACTAGACGGATAATGGGTTTGAGTCCCTTTGCCGTCAGACTAACGGTGGGAGGTTCTTGTGGTCTTCCTCTCCATATAACGCAAATGCGAGTTAGTGCCATCAAAAAGTCCTCCACGAAGGCGAAATTTATCCCTATACTTGATCCAGGAGTTCCCTTGTCTTCTGGATTGGGTTCAAAATTACAAGGCTACGGAGTTGAACATTAGTAGTCGTAAACCCAAAAATTGAGTCGGCTGTTCAACGACGATTATAAAATATAAAATAGTGATATGTTGTTGGATCGGAGAACTTTTATTCTCTGAGTAATAAGCAGGTATTAAAATTTGTAAAATTATATGCTTCAAAATAAAATCCTTTGTCAACCCTCCGTTTTCTGATAAAAGAAAATAGGTAAAAAACTGGTTTCTAATCTTTTGAAGTAAAAAACTTGGCCGTATGTGCTACTTAGAGCTTGAGAAGAGAAAAGTTTAGATACGTATTTGAACTTATAAATAAATAATATGCTCCAAATTATACCTTAAGGGCTGATTAGGTATTTAGAAAGCTCAGATGCAATTATCTCGCATTTAAAATAGAAATAAAAAATTTTGATAAAATTGAATTAGAAAACTTTTTTAAAATTGAATAAAAAGATCAGACCAGATTTGCTATCTGGAAGTTAAATAATAGTCTTAGATAGATTAAATTAGAAGATAAGATAAATTCTAGAAGTTAATAAACATTAATTATATTTTTTTTTTCTAATTTTAAATACAAAATTTATTGAAAGATCAGTTAAAAATCAAGCACAAAAAAAGAGAATATTTAATAAGAGTAAAAATACTGAGGTCTCTATTATTAAAAAAGAAAATTTTAATTCAAAAAATAAAATACTAATTCGAAACTAGAACTTTTCTTCCATAATACGGAATACAACAAAATAAAAATTAATCGCGTTTCTGGTTTCACAATATAAAAATAATCACGAAATTCCAAAACGTATACAACCAATAATTACAGTACGTGTTTTCTCCGCCGAAACGCTAAGCTTGTTAGACAGTAAAAACAGCTGCATAACTGAACATTTCGCCGGCCGCTTTGAGGCTAAAAGCGCATGCGCAAACACGCCGCGTTTGGTTTGGCAGCACTGACTGATCGCGGATTCGAGCTGAAGAAAAAGAAGAAAAACTTGATCCTGATATTCAGTGATAGTTTCTCGCATCATTTTGTAGTAGAACACTGTGTCAGCGTGTTAGTGACTTCGAAAAAGTATAAATTCTCTTTTCTACATAAGTTATCTCCTACATTTACGGATTCTACTGTATTTCACGATTTTATCGTTTGTGGAAATACCGCGTGCTTCGTCTATAAAGTGTCATATAAAGGTGTAGGTGTTTTCAATATTGTCTAAGAGAAATATTTTATCGTCTGTTTTTTTATCTTTTTAAAGTGATCATAAAGGTAAGTCAATGCTCGAAATGGTTTATTGTTGCTTAGATTATAAGAAAAATATGAATTTTATGTGTTTTTGTGGAAAAAATAAGTTTTTTTTGGTTAAAACATTGACTGGAATTGATGATGCAATCACGTAATCACCCATGTCTCTTTGAGCTATCTCTTAAAAAGATAATTTAAAAACTTAAATTGAATCTATAAACACGATTTTTTAATTTAGTTTGCAAGCTCCGATTCAATTGCTAGAATTTGAAGGTAGTTAAAATAAATATTGCTTTTTATATATGTAGCGTTATTCATGTTTAATTTTTATTAGTGCAAGTCGTGGAAGAGTTATTAGTGGAAGTCAATCAGATAAATGTAATAAAATTTCTTTAAGATTGATTGTTAATAAAATGTAATATTAAGGTATTCTTGTAAAATTAGTAAAAAAATAAATAAACATGAAATCTTTGAATTCCAAGAGATAAAAAAAAAAAACTTCTGTTAAATGTATTTATTGAAAAAAATATCTGATCATTTCACTACTTCCTTATGATTTTTTTGAACCCATAATATATATATATATTCTTCATTACTGTTTGCATATTGTTGAATTTGTTTACTTTTTTTTCTTCAAAAGTATATTTAATATTTTGTTCAAGTTCTGATTTTTAAAGCAATATGATCATGTTATGAGTCATGAAAGAGTATTAAAGTTTTTTTTTTATTATTAAATTTGATATTTGTTTTTAAAAATGCTTGAGGTTTTTTATTTACTGTAGGATTTTCAGTATTTATTCAATTATTTCAGTAATAAATATTTGTTCAATCAATTACATATTATGCTTATTTTCTAAGTTTTTATTTATTTNATGTTTTAAATGTAAAAGTAAATAATTTTTTTAATTTTATATTTGGTTTGAAAATGTCCATTAGTTTTTATTTTAGTAGATTAAATATTTATTTAAATGCAATTTTAAATATTTATTTAATTGAAAAATATTTGGTTTATTTCTATGAAATATGATTCTTATATTATTTTATTAATGTTAACTTTTCATAGTTTAATTTTCATTAATTCCTGCAGTATTATCAAATTTTTTTTTTAAATAGAGACTGGTTTTTATATGAAATAAAATCTAGTAAATTGTGTGAAAAAATTATACACATTTATTTTTCTTCTTAAATTTTTATTCTGAATGTGCAGTTTTCAATCCAATTTTTTTTATTTTTAAATAATACATTTCATTTATTTTTATACAGTTACTCAAGTACAGCAATAAAATTGCTTTTTAATATTTACTGATTTAAAATTTTGTGTTTAAAGTAATTTTAAAGTTTAATTTTTTTTAAATAAATTAAATTCTAATCCTAATGTTTTAAATTCTGCATTGATTTTTATTGAATCTAATTTTCCTCTGATCTTAATTGTTTGACAGGAAACAACATTTTTAGCTGATAAGTGGTCCTGAAACATACTACAAAATGTGTGCCGCAAGGTCTTTTTTCAGAGCAATAGTCCGAAGAAAACCTTTAGAAGTGGATTTACAAGAAACTAAACTTAACAGATGTTTGTCAACATTAGATTTAACATCACTTGGTAAGCTGTTTTTAATTATTTAGTTTTTTGATGCTATTAATAAGTGAGTAATATTTGATTTTAAGGATATTAAGAACTATTATTTGTTACAACACATTAATAGGTTACAAGAATGTTAAAAAAAATGAACTGTAGTATTATAATACATGTCAATATTATGTTTTATTAAAACAATATATTTTTTTTATTTGTGACTTTGAAATTCTGGTTAGTGAAATTATATATGCAGTGATTTAAATTCAAAGAAAATTGCAATATTGTATGTGTGTTACATTTTTCTTCTAAAGTTATTAATTTCTTTTTAAAAATGCAACTTAATGATGGGGTATTATAATAAGAAATTATATTTTGAATTTGTAATAAATTTATATAATTTGAATTTTATTGAAATGAACAAGGTTCCTTGGAAATCTGGAAATAATGATATATTTTAAACAAAACTGGAAAAAAACCTTGGAAATTAGCTAATTTTAAAATATGTGATGTAATATTCTCACCAAGTAGAGTTCAAAGTAAAATATCTGATATTATGTATTATTTCTTTACAGTATAATGAAATTTATTTAGATTTAGTAAAGTTAAAATATTAATTTGTTTAAAGTAATCTCATTTGGGAATTTTTTGTTTCAATTTCCACCTACACAAATTTTTTTGTCCATATTTTCAGTTTAATACTACTATTCCCTAAATTGATAATAATTGTTTTAAAAAAAAGTAATTTATCAAAGTTCTTCATCACAAACTTACTTGTAAGATATATCATGGCTTAGTGACCAATGTGATTTTATTGTTAAATTATGTATTATTGTTAGATAATTTTTTAATATTGTTAGATAATTTTTTAATATGGTCAGAAATTTTTTGACTTATTCATGGGATAGTTAGAAAATTTAACTTCTAAAACTGAGTTTTTTAAATGGTGTACTTGAACACGGGTATCAAAGGATAGAGATGTATTAGAATTTAAAAGCTTGTTAGCTTAAGTTTATTTGATTGAAGTCTAAAAGAAATGAAAGACTGATTTCACTTTTTACATTTGCTTGTTATTGCTTGAAAAATAATTATAAATAAAATTATAATAATTTTCAGTTTTTTTGAAAATGAATCTTTATTCAATGTTTAAGAATAAATTGCTTTTCTTTCAAAATTACTAAATTTTTTTAAAAAAAATATTTAAATTTAAATAATTACAAATTACAGCTTACAAAATATTATGTATTTTTTCGAACTAAAAAAGCTTACAAAATGTAAGTTATAATAGTTTTATTTTGTGAGTTATTTTCCTTTCTTAGACTCAAATTTGATAAATTCTAACTAATTGACCTATAGAACCAGTGTTAGCATCAAGTATGCCATATTTATAATGTTAGACTAATCATTTCAGTCATAGAAAACATTGTATTTAGGGGAATTACATATTTGGTTTATATTAAAAGTAGGTGTAGGAAAGAAGTTAGTGTTATTATAAAAACAATTAATTTGAAAGTTTAAAACATTTATGAGTATAATAATAGCAAAATATCAGTGTTTGTTTTTTAATACCATTTTGTTGTTTAAAGTTCATGTAATGTTTATTTAATCAATGTTCCTTTTAAAGTTTCATGAGCATATGTTAAGTTCAAATTAATTCATCTAAATACATTTTTTCCTAACATTGAACTGCTTAAAACAAGGTTTTATTCATTTCATAAGCTATTTAGTTATTGTTATAATTTTAAATTTGTCAAATTAAATTTTGTTTCATTCATTGCTTCTTTTGGTCTTTTCTAAAACAAACAATTCAACTTGCATAAAACCCTCTTATTTAATTGAGCTAAATAATTTAAATATTAAATTTTAATGTTATATTTAAATTATGAAGTTTGAAGTTCCTAATGAAAAATTATTTTATCAAAATCCTATAAAAAATCACATAAGTAAGCAAAACTCAAGTACATAATATGCTTGTAGGTTGCAGTTAAAAACTAAAAATGTAAATTGCTTATTTTTTGTTTTTTATTTTAATACTGAAGACAATTTTTTAAATGAGTGCAGTGTTTCACTAATTTTATAAAGTTTTATTTTCTTATTTTTATAGTTTTTATTTTTCTAATTTGAGGAATTGAAATGTTAAACATTTAAAAGAATTTAACTGCAACTGCCTTCTTTGGTTTCATTTCAAATTTTCTAAGTTACTATGTCATTTTTTTTTTTTTTTTTTNTTTTTTTTTTTTTTGTAATTTGATTTAGTTCTTTGCCAATTAATTTCCTTACCAGGGCTGGATTACCCACTAGGCCATGGCCTGGGGCTCCCAATGATTAGGGGCCCCCTTAAAATGAATTTTTTGAAAATAAATCTTAAAAAATTAGGAAAAAGGATTAGGATTTTTCAAATTTTTTCAAAATGTTATGATTATTTTTTTAGTTCTAATTTAATAAAACAAAGTAGTAAAATTTAGTTTATTATTATTTATTTTAATTTTTAATATGCTTTTTTAAATGAAAAGATAAATACTTTTATATTTGAATAAAAAAAAATATACGAGAAAAAAATTTAATCAAAGGGCCCCAAAAATATTAATGTCCTAGGGCCCCGCGTACACTTAATCCAGCCCTGTTCCTTATAATCATTTACCTAATTTATATTTATTTCATTTTGCTGTTTTTTGTTTATTGTGTTTTTTTCTGAATCTCATTTACATCGTTCATATTATAAACGATCCATAAAGGAGTTAAATATTTTGTTTAAAAATTTATGCCATCAATTAAATTAAGCTTAATTAATTAATTTATTTTTTTAGTAATAAAAATGTTTAGTTGTTGAAATAAGCTTTCATTCTTCAACATTTATAGATATCATTTTAATCATCAACTCTACTCCTATCCTCTAAGTGAAAACAAACATTATTAGGATGGAGGTTTATTCTGCAAACAGAATAAGCCTCAAATTTTCAGGTAATTTGAAAATACCACTGGAAGAATCTGGAATTTTCAGGGAAATTTACCCCTAACTCAGCAATTGGCAGTATTGTATTAATATGTCATCACTATAATTGCATATAATAAAGTATTCGTCAGAGCCATTTTATTCAATAATTGAGTTTACCTTTTCCTTAAAAAAATGAAACTGTTGACTGAGTCGTGCTCCTGTTCCATTGGTCCAGAGTTCTATTCTCGGACTTGTCAGATTGACTCATTATTTTATCTCTTCTTTGGTCAATTATATAAGTTCCAAACATGGTTAGGAACTTTACCCTAGGATTTTTGAGTTTGGCGTAGTACTCAATAAGAGCATTTGTTCTTGCTCCTGCCCAAGGTGAAGAAAACTAGGATGTGCATCATAGGAATTGATCCTCCATGGGCTGTTGTGCTACTGAGTTTTTCTTTTGTCTTAAAACATTAGGACAATCAATATTTTTCAAAAAAATTATTCTAAATCCCATTACAAGTTTAATAATAAAAACCTTCTATAGAAATCATAGAAAATGGTTTGGTTTAGCATTATGAAAATTGTAGATTTGAAACAATGAGCAATTTTCAAAAATTAGCAAAATTTAAATTTTATTATATACAAATTGTTGATGCATATAAATTTTTAATACATAAAGATTTTTTTCTTAATAATATTTTTAAATCGCTATAAAAATTTGGTATAATTTAAATCAATACAATTTGCAATTTTTCTTTGGAAATCTTTAGTAATTCGATGAGCTGAAGGAATTTTGTTTTGTTAGTTTCAACAAATGTTCCACACATATTTCATAAGTGATTAATAATGCATAATAATAATTTGGTAATTGATAAAAATTAGGCATATATATTGGAATGAAAAATTCTGTTCTCTAATGAAGAAAAAAGAAGATCTAATGAGAATTAAAATATTGTGGTTATGATATTGAGCCGTTGCTCCCAAACTTTTCTAAGTTTTGGTGCCCTTACAAATTGAAAATTGCCTTATGGCATCCTAGTCTTGTAATATTTCTTTGCAGCATAATGTTTATCATACACATATAATATATACAATAAGACTTCAAACAGAAATTATCAAAGTTATGATGGAGGATTTGAAAACAGGTAATGCAACTCAAAATTGAAAGTCTATCGAAAGCTTTAATTTTAATTTATAATTATATAATATTTGAACTATAAAATCTATCTACCCTGTCTTGAGATTTTTCTTCTTGCGTAATAGATTATTATTAAAGGAATAATATTTAAAGTGAAGTCATGAGCACCTTGTGTTATCATTCCTCTCGCTTTGTGGCACACTAGGTTAGGACGCCCTGGTACACATTTTAGAAACCCCTGAAGTAGGAGACAGGACTTTATCGCACATTATATTGGGAACAAAGTTGTAGTATTATAAATAACATAGACAGTTGAATGAAACATTATGTTTTTAAGTTCAAATGAAATAATTAAATTAGTATTGTAAATGGTATGTAATTATTTATTTATAGTTGTGTATGATATAAAATTTTACTTTGAACAAATTTTTCAGTTGAAAAGTTACAAAATTTCTTATAATTATGGTAATATTTACTTTTATGAGGTAATAATTTTCAAATAATTTAACTCTTTTTTTTTTTTAATTTTTTATAGGTATTGGCAGCACCCTTGGCTTGGGAATATATGTACTGGCTGGGCAAGTAGCCAGTACTAAAGCAGGCCCTGCTGTTACTATTTCTTTTTTCATTGCAGCTGTAGCATCTGTATTTGCCGGTACATGCTTATAGAGATAATTTTATTATTATTAATAAATACTTATTTATCTTATTTTTTAGAGTTGTATTAAAGTATAGGAGGACTGAAATGTTACTGGGTAGAAATTTTACTATTCAGAAACATAAAATAATTTTAGCTTAATGAAAATCTTCATTTTGATTAATTTTTTTAGCAATTCCGTTTTATGCAGGGTTAAAAATTAAGAATATAATACAGAGATGCCAACTTGCTCCGGACAGCAAATAAATATTTTAAAGTGGTAGTTTATCAATTGTGATTCTTGGTTTAATAAATTCAAATTAGTAGATTTTTATCCACCACTATTTCTAAATAATTCATAGTCTTATATAATTCACCACTTTATAGTACTTATGTAATGCTATGCCTTTTAAAAAGCAATAAAAAATAGTCAAATATTTGCAAAATTTAGTTTGCAGTTATTTACCGTTTTTTTATATTTTATTATTTTGACGTGTCCGGAGCAGTTGGCATCTCTGATAACATCAATGATTCAAAGGACCAGTAACTAAAATATTTGACTTCAATGGAACCCTACTATAATGAACCATAGACATGTGAATACTCGGTTATAGTAGTGGCCCCTTCTGAACTTCCGTTTAGCTAAAGTTATTTCATATAGGGGGCCCCTGAAAAATTAATGGTTTATTTACANTTCTAATCCTAATGTTTTAAATTCTGCATTGATTTTTATTGAATCTAATTTTCCTCTGATCTTAATTGTTTGACAGGAAACAACATTTTTAGCTGATAAGTGGTCCTGAAACATACTACAAAATGTGTGCCGCAAGGTCTTTTTTCAGAGCAATAGTCCGAAGAAAACCTTTAGAAGTGGATTTACAAGAAACTAAACTTAACAGATGTTTGTCAACATTAGATTTAACATCACTTGGTAAGCTGTTTTTAATTATTTAGTTTTTTGATGCTATTAATAAGTGAGTAATATTTGATTTTAAGGATATTAAGAACTATTATTTGTTACAACACATTAATAGGTTACAAGAATGTTAAATTATAATGAATGTTATTATTTTTATGTTACAAGAATGTTATTATTTTTTTTTAAATTTTATCAATTTAAAATTCTAGTTGAAGCAAACCAGTCATTGGCAAATTTTTTATATTCTGAAATGAACAGAAAAATCAGGAGTATTTCTTTCCTCTCTGATGAACAAGAAAAGTATCTTTAGAATATAATTCTGCAGAGAAAATTTTTTTTTTGCTTTTGTATTTTTTTCAGCTATTTTATTGTTTCAACACTTTCTTTACTCTGTTTTTTAAGTTTAAAATCTATAAATATGAAGGTGAAGAGTATAATAGTTTTGGTTATGCCTATTTTGAATAGTTTTAATATAATGCTTTTTTTAATTTATTGTTGCGTTTTTGTTGGAGAAAATAGCAACTTCGTTAAGTCATGAAAAATCTTGGAATTAGTCATGGAAAATCATGAAAAGTCATGAATTTGAAAATCTAAAATGTAGCAGATACCCTGTATTAATTTCTTTTTAAAAATGCGACTTAATGATGGGATATTGTGATAAAAAATTATAAAGTAAATACTAAGTCTCTGATATTATGTATTATTTCGTTCACAAATTCCTCTGCAATATAATGAAATTTTCTTAGATTTAGTAAAGTTATTTAAATTTGTTTAAAATAATCTCATTTAGGAATTTTTTGTTTCAAATTCTACCTGAAAATTTTTTTCCCCCTCATTTGCAGTTCAATAACACTATTCACTAAACTGAAAATTATTTTTAAAAAAAGTAAGCACCAATTTATTATGGTTCTTAATCACAAGTAAGATATAACATGGCTAATGTGATTTTAGTGTTAAATTATATAATATTGTTAGTTAATTTTTTTAAAACTGTCTGAAATTTTGTGTTACTCATGGGATAGTTAGAGAATTTACTTCTAAAACTGAGATTTTTATCTGATTTATTTGAACTGGGGTATCAAAGGATATGCATGTATTACAATTTAAAATCTTGCTAGGCAACGAGCTTGGTCAAATTGACTCATTATGTCATCTCTTCACTGGTCAATAATATGAGTTCCAAACATAGTTAGGAACTCTACTATAGGTTCTTGGAGTTCTACTAAGCACTCAATCAGAGTTTCTGTTCTTGCAGCTCGAGCCTTAGGTGAAGTTAACTGGGCTGGGCACAGTAAGCATTGGTCTTCCATATGTTCTTTTGCCACTGAGTTTTTTTTTTCTGTCTTATAACTTGAGGACAATCAGTATTTTTTCAAAAAAATTATTCTAAACCCTGTTACAAGTTTAATAATGAAAACTTTCCGCAGAAGTTATAAATATAATTTTGTTATATTATTATTATATAATATACTATGTTATGAAAATTGTAGATTTTAAACAAAGAGCAATTTTAGTTTCAAAGATTAACAAATTTAAATTTCATTCGAAACAAAATTGTTGATACATATAAATTCTTAATATATAGATTTATATTGGTAAATTTTTAAATCACTATAAAAATTAGGTTTGTTAATTTACAATTTGCAATATTACTTGGAAATCTCTTATAATTTGATGAGCTGAAGTAATTTTGTAAGTTTCAATAAATGTTCAATACATATTTCGTAAGTTATTAATAAAATATAATAATTTTTGATAGTTGATAAAAATTAGGTATATATATTTGAATGAAAAGTTCTGTTCGGAGGATCTAATGAGAATTAAAATATTGTGGTTATGTAATTGAGCTGTTGCTCCCAAACTTTTCTAAGCTTTTGGTGCCCTTACAAATTGAAAATTGCCTTGTGGCATCCTAGTCTTGTAATATTTCTCTGCAGCATATTGTTTATCATACACATATAATATATACTATAAGACTTCAAACAGAAATTATCAAAGTTATGATGGAGGATTTGAAAACAGGTAATACATAATTGAAATTATATCCAAAGCTTTAATTTATAATTGTATAATATTTGATCGATAAAATCTATCTACCCAGTCTTGAGATTTTTCTTTTTGCGTAATAGATTATTATTAAAGGAATAATATTTAAAATGAAGTCATGAACACCTTGTGCTATCATTACTCTCGCTTTTTGGCACACTAGGTTAGGACGCCCTGGTACACATTTTAGAAACCCCTGAAATGGGGAACAGGACTTTATCTCACATTATATTGGGAGCAAAGTTGTAACATTATAAATAACATTTACAGTTGAATGAAACATTATGTTTTTCAATTCAATGAAGCATTTAAATTATTGTAAATGGTATGTAATTTTTTATTTAGAGTTGTGTATGATATAAAATTATACTTTAAACAAATTGTTCAGTTGAAAAGTTTCAAAATCTCTTATAATTATGGTAATATTTACTTATATATGGTTATAATTTTCAAGTAATTTAGTAACTCATTTTTTTCTCTTCTAGGTATTGGCAGCACCCTAGGCTTGGGAATATATGTACTGGCTGGGCAAGTTGCTAGTACTAAAGCAGGCCCTGCTGTCACTATTTCTTTTTTCATTGCAGCTGTAGCATCTGTATTTGCCGGTACATGCTTATAAAGATAATTTTATTATTATTAATAAATACTTATTTATCTTATTTTTTAGAGTTGTATTAAAGTATAGGAGGACTGAAATGTTACTGGTTAGAAATTTTACTATTCAGAAACATAAAATAATTTTAGCTTAATGAAAATCTTCATTTTGATTAATTTTTTTAGCAATTCCGTTTTATGCAGGGTTAAAAATTAAGTATATAATACAGAGATGCCAACTTGCTCCGGACAGCAAATAAATATTTTAAAGTGGTAGTTTATCAATTGTGATTCTTGGTTTAATAAATTCAAATTAGTAGATTTTTATCCACCACTATTTCTAAATAATTCATAGTCTTATATAATTCACCACTTTATAGTACTTATGTCATGCTATGCCTTTTAAAAAGCAATAAAAAATAGTCAAATATTTGCAAAATTTAGTTTGCAGTTATTTACCGTTTTTTTATATTTTATTATTTTGACGTGTCCGGAGCAGTTGGCATCTCTGATAACATCAATGATTCAAAGGACCAGTAACTAAAATATTTGACTTCAATGGAACCCTACTATAATGAACCATAGACATGTGAATACTCGGTTATAGTAGACATGTGAATACCCTTCTGAACTTCCGTTTAGCTAAAGTTATTTCATATAGGGGGCCCTTGAAAAATTAATGGTTTATTTACAATGGACTCAAATTCCATTTCTCATCTTTAAATTTGTAGGTGTTGTGATTGCAAACGACAGCATTTCTAAAGATTTTATCAAATCTTACTCTTGCATGTTCTTTGCTCTTAAACTTGAAATAAGGTAAACAAGTTGTTTATCAGCACATCTCTCATCTTATCCCTTCCCTAGGTATACGAAGGACAATATAAGTGTGTGGTAATCAAATTTTATTTTGGAATAGCAACCAGCTTAAAATTTAGGTTAAAATCTTACTTCATTTTTTAAAGCTAATTATGTAAATAACAATGAGTAGCATTAAATGTATTTCTTACTAGCTGTGCACTATATATTTTTCCAATCAAATAGCACATAGTCCTGATGAAATTTGTAGATTTGTTTATTGATTTTAATTTATATTATCAGTTAATTTACATTATCAGTTGAAAGACTGGTTAATTTCTGTAAATTATGGTGTCAAGTAGAATTGATTAATGTAATAATCTGATATTTTGAAAATAATCAATATTGATGTATTTTTAGGTTTATGCTATGCAGAATTTGGTGCAAGAGTTCCTAGAGCTGGATCAGCATATGTGTACAGTTATGTCACTGTTGGAGAATTGATGGCTTTTATTATAGGATGGAACCTTATATTAGAATATGTCATAGGTAAAACTACTTTTAAAAACTGACTAATTGTGGCTTTTTTTTTTCAACGAGGGTTAAGCAATTCATTTTTAATAAGCTATAAGAATCCCACATGTACAGGAAAAGTTGGATTTGTCAGAAAATTTAATTTTGACAAAAAAAAATTAGGGCAAACATGAATTTTTGTTTTTAGTCTTGAAAAGTTTATCAAGAAAAGTTAAAAATGTCTCATTTTAAAATTTATTTTAAGAACTATTAACTATTCAAAGGGGAGAAAAATGTAACATCTATTACAATTATTTCTTATTCCAATTCTGATGCAAAATAATTTGATACTCTTACATCAATTAAAACTAGAGTAATAATTTATATTTGTACATAATATTTTTCTACAATTTCTTGTTAGATGTTTTTTTCTCTTTTCATTGTAGCTTTATTTACAGTTCAACAGTGTGTTTTATTAGGATAGTTATAATTTATTTCAATAATTAAAATTTTCAAATTATTTTTTATCATTAAAACTATGCAAGATTTATAATGGCTGTATAGCTGATGTGATTCTATTAATGAATTATATTTCTATTGCATTTTTTTTTCAATCTGTTCAGTTTTTGAGTAAACCATTGTTTTAATTTATAATTTATACACTTATGTATTGTTAAAAATGCATGTTAAACGTTCAGTTCGTGGTTTCCGATGAAATATTGTAGTATGCATCATAACTGAGGTCTGGAATTTTGTTGACGTCTTCTTAGAATCAATAAATTTTATTTCAAAAATTGACTGTCAACCTTGTAGATTATTATTTTTCTTGCTATTATAAACATGCTTGTAAACTTATCTGATATACAATATTTAATTTATAATCAAAATCAAGTTATGAAATAGAAATGAAAATTGGTTTGACATTGAACACCTCATTTTTTAAAACTAGAATTTCTCTTTTATCAGTGTGTTATTTATAGCTTTTATGAGGCTGATAAATGGCTTATAATGGGTACCAAAAACATACCTTATAAGTTAACTATTTCATATCTAATAGACACTATTCTATATTTTGTTAAGGAACTGCATCTGTTGCTAGAGGATATAGCGGCTATTTAGACTCCTTATTTAATGGTACCATTGAAAAACACCTGAGGGCGGCTATGCCCATAGATATTCAGCATGTCTCTGCATATCCAGATTTCCTAGCATTTGGAATAACACTGTTATTGGCAAGTATGTTGTTATTTGTATTTATAATTAGGTACTAAACAAATTTTGATATTGTCAAAAAATTTTTGCATATTTTAAAGTAAACAAGATTGTATGCTAATTTTGTATTAATTTTGATTCATAAACTTTCTCTTCTGTCTTAGATGTTTTTAAATCTTTTAGTTAAATTTTTAGTTCTTTATGATTATAATTAGATTCATAATCTAAAATCAAAGAATTAATTTTCTCTGATAAAACAATACTGCTATATAAATACACAAGTGGGCGACCTTTGTGCTAAAATACAAAATAAGGCAAACAACGTTAAAGAGCACAAAAATATTTATAAAATACAGGCAGCTGTTTCGGATGCTCAGAGGGCAACCTTCATCAGTGCAACAGAAAGAAATGAGAGAAAACAGGGTAAATATAGAGAAAGGTGATGTCACAAGAGGGTTAGAGCAACGGCCAATAGGAGGAAAGGGTGAATGGATGACGACGAATTGGAAGCAAGGAACAAAAAGGTGGTTAGTTAGGTTTAATCATAGATTTCCAAACAGGAGAAAGATAAGGAACGCTGGATAGGTCATTGACCAACAGTTTGGAATTTTTGAAAATACGATAAGACGTGTAAAAATTTAAATCAAAAATTAAAGAATAAATTTAAATCACTTTAGAAGAAGAAAAATTAAAATTATGATTAGAGTCCCAACAATGTTGGGCAATAGATGAGCGTTTAAATTCTTGTTTTTTGACATAAGCTTCATGTTCCTTGACACGGCACTTTAAGGCACACTTAGTTTGGCCTATATATGAAAGGCCGGGCCGGGATAGCCTGGTCGGTAGGGCGCTGGACCCATATCCAAGAGGTCGTGGGTTCGATCCTCGCCGGCCGAAGACTCCCCGTGTAGTAAATGGTGACTGATGCACGTTAAATCTGTCGAGTCTCAAAGTCCTCCATGTTCCCACAACAAATCAATACCTCTGGGGGTACTGATCCAGGAGTTTCCTTGTCTTCTGGATTGGTTCAAAATTACAAGGCTACGGAGTTGAACGTAAGTAGTCGTAAACAATAAAATATATGAAAGGCCGCATTGGCAATTAATTTGGTATGTACCCCAGCTATTTTGACTGTCAATGGGCTGTTTGAGATTAGAAAATTTTATCTTATTAATGGGACTGAAAATAATATTAAAATCAAACTTCTTTGAAACTTTGAATTGAATATGCTTACTAAAATTATCGTTATATGTTATTATATTTATTACTATTTCAAAAATTTTATATTATTAAATTTAAAAATTAAATGTATATACCAATTCATGAATGTTTTCAGCTATGCTGTGTATTGGGGTGAAGGAATCCACACGTTTCAACACAGTGTTCACTGCCTTGAATTTGGGGGTAGTAGTTTTTGCCATCATAGCTGGATCTATTAAATCTGATGTCAGCAATTGGAAATTAAAGGAATCGGAGGTAATTAAAAATACTAATCATATAACTTGTTTGTTTTATTTTCTCTCCTAAGGAAAAATTGAATTTGTTTAGCAATTGTTATATATTTTTGCAAAAGTTTTAAATTAACAGTATATCAGATTTATCTTTCGCACTTTGATGACACAAAAAATAAATAAAAAATACTCTATAAAAAGTAAAAAAACACCCTATGAAAATAAATAAAAGAAAATGAAAATATGTTCTAAAAATAAATAAAATAAACATCTCTTTGCAGGAAACGAAATTTTTATAGAATTTTTTTGTACCATATGTTTTGGAATATAAGCAGAGCAATTTTTGAAAGCTAAAGTAAGGGGGAGGCTTCAGGGAAACATCCCTCACAGAAATAATTCCAGGAAAACATCGCACACAGAAATATTTCTCTTTTTGTCTAGCATTAGTAATAATCATTAAATACATAGAATAAAAGTTAGAAACGGTATGACCAAATATAAAAATAGCATAAGTACAATTTGAAAGAAATACTACTTTTTAATCTTCTAATTACAGATTCAGAAAGATCATGCCTCTTTTACTCAGAGTGTAACTGCTGCTAGATTTATCATTACTAGAAAAGAGGGTGTACATCTTTATTATCAAGCATAGCATTCCTTATTTTTTTTTTGTTGACCTATTAACGAAATCTGCATTTTTGGTGAATTTCCAAATGAAGAGCGTACTCTTTAGCTTCTACACTAAACCAGCCCATCGAGGGCCACTGAGCATCTTAGCTTCTACACAGATCAACTTATATAAAAAGAAAACATGATTGTAAACGTTATAATTAATATACAGTAGAGTACCGATTATGGAACGATCGGGACCATCGCTATTCCGGATAACTGTTTTTTCCGGTTTTCTGAATCCCTGCAAAAAGCAGTTTTTTTTATTGTTAAACCCAACTAAAGAAATTTTTTTTGGAAATAATCATAAAAAGAAGAAAAAACGATGAAGTAATACACTAATGATTATTTCCAAAATGATGGTAAGCTAAACATCTTTCAGAAAAGAAAGAAAAATCCTAAAATATTATGAGGAAAAGAAATATTCTTTAAAAAAATGGCGGGAAAATTTATCGAATTTCATTCCGGTTTTCTGATTTCCGGATAACGGGTTCTGTACTGTATTTAGAAAATTCAAATTTACTTAAAAGCTACATTTATTCAAGTTTCTACAGGTGTTCTATATGTGCCCCTTCGGTGACACGACAAATGTCTACACGGTAATCAAGCTCCTGCCACACTCGTGATAGCATATCCCCTGCGATGGAGTTTCTTTTCGTCCTGGGCTTTTGTTCTTGCATAAGCAGCCGGTATCCTGGAACTGCTTCACCCACCTGCTTATGTTATGCCGATGCGGTGGTTCTTTATAAAATTTCGTGCAAACATGTCTTTGCACAACAGTTACCGAGGAGGTTTTGGCATATTCGAAAATGCAGTACGCTCTCTCCTGCATGGATGACTTTTTGTTTAACAGCGCCTCTAGCGGCATCATTCGATGATTTTTCCCTGTTGCCAAATAAAACTTGTATAATTGTAGTTGCAGAATAAATTTGTTTCGGCTGAATAAATCCATTACGGCAGTCACACTGTGCTATTCTTTTTGTCCCATTCAATATGAAACACCCTGTATTTGGAATTATAGGGTAATAATTAAATATTGTGTATTGTTATATAATGCTAAAATATTAATGTACTGGTTGAAAAGAAGCTCTTAGAAATACTCTTATATGAACCTATTATTTTGAAGAACTCTCACGAGTGGCTAAGGTGAAGAATTTAAATTTCATTTCATATTTATCTGCAATAATTTGGTGTGTGCAAATGGGGTATAAAGCTGCTTGCAATTTAAACTGTTTGCTTTATCTTCACCAAAACTGATAAGGAGAGATGTAGGTTTGTGCCCCAAATTCATAATATCAAATAATTTGTTTAGTAAAATTTTTTATTTCTATGCACTGAAAAAATAATCACTTGTTGCTAAGATATGTAAACTGAATTTGTCTATCCTTTTTAATGTCAATTGAATTTGTCTATCCTATTTATGTTAAAGTATCGCTGTGAAATCTGAGGAATTTTAGATGCTCTTTATTACTGTTTTACATTTAGAATTTATATTAAAACTATCAAAATTATTAAATATCAAAATTATTATTTGATTTATCTTCACCAAAACTGACAAGGAGAGATGAAGATTTGTGCCCCAAATTCATAATATCAAATAATTTTTTTATTTGGTAAAATTTTTCATTCCTATGCACTGAATTTGTCTATTCTATTTATGTTAAAGTATCGCTGTGAAATCTGATGAGTTTCAGATGCTCTTTATTACTGTTTTACATTTGAAATTTATATTAAAAATATCAATATTATCAAAAATTCATTTGTACAGTTGTAATAATAATATTTGACTCCTGAGCAATTTTGTTTGTTACTTTAAAAGCATTTAAATCCAATTCTACTTTTATTAAAATGGTAGGCTGAACATTTCATTTTTTCTAGCTAAATTTTAATAACATAAACTTTTATTTCAAGAAATTAGAAAGAAAAAAAAAATTAAAAATCCTACTTTTTTGAAAAAATTAATCTCATTGGAAATCAGGAATATCAAATGTTTTATTGTGAAATCGGCAATTTTTATTTATTTCTTAACTTTAGCATAATTAAATACTTTTACTTTCTTTCTTTTTCCTTTTTTTTAGGAAAACAATCTTAGTGTCATGGTTTATACCTTTTTATTTCTAATATTTATCAATGTTTTTTTTTCTTTTTTGTTGTAGATTCCTGCATATGCTGGTCATGGTGGTTTTTTCCCATTTGGAATTTCTGGAATGATGTCAGGGGCTGCAACTTGCTTTTATGGTTTTATTGGATTTGATTGCATTGCAACGACAGGTGATATTATTGACTATACGTTTTTTTCATCTGCGTAACTTAAAATTAAAAAGCACTCTAACAAAATTTTATACTATTTTAATTTTTATGAATTTTTGCATTAGTAGGGAAAAGTATAAAACTTTTAGTAATAGTTCAGTTAATAAAAATTAATGTGTTTAAAAGTATCGAAGCGGTACAGTTTTGATTGAAACAGTTTTTTTATTGCACAGTTTAGATTTTTTTTTTTAAAAGAAAAAAAAATTATACAATTTAAGGTTATTTATAATCTGTCAATGTTAGTTTTTTCTTTCTTTTCCTTTTTTTAAAATGGTTGGTAAAAAAAAGGAACAATGTTGTGGTCTTATTGAAACTTAACAAGTTATATTTATAGATTTATTTATTTAATGTTTCCTATTTAGATTAATTATTGTACTTTAATGAGTTAAATATACAACAAAATTTATCGCACTTTTTCTAAAGTTCGTTTTATTTAATCACATACTTTTTTTTCCCTATACATTAAAAAGTTGACTCTTTTTAAAAAAATTTACAATTGTTTTAGTGTTAATGATATTACTGAATATGTAACAGTAATACAGTTCAGTCCTTAAAATTCATTATGGTCAATTGGTCTAAGACCATTAAAATTTAACTTGGACCATCTTAAAATAATTACCAGTTGTCTCAGCACCAAAACCACCTTTCTATATAAAGGGATTGTTATGCTTCTTTTTTTTTAATTTTCGGTTTTGTGTTTTGGTCTGTGCTTTTGTTACAGTAAAGCATATTTCATTTTAATTGTGAATATTTCACAATCATTGCTTTGTAATTTTTCATTTTAATTCACTTGAAGAAATTAATAGAGATATGCAAACATACCAGTGAAAATGTGTAGAGACAAGTAATAAATTTAGCTATTGGCTCTGTATATTAGTATCTAAATTTTCTTAGTTTTTGCCAATGTAGTTAATTTTGGTCTCATTATCACTTTGTTGATTACATTATAGGAATTTAAAGGCTATATTTGATTAACTTGGTCTAACAATTTTCTGATTCCTAAGTTACTCCTCAATATTTTTGCTTTGATACCTCTTCTAAATTTTGTAATGTCAATAAAATTCTACCTGCTTCAGTAAGTTTGATAGAAAATCAAAAATGTATGCTGGGTTTGAAAATTTAAAACCTTTTCTTATGGGAAAAGTATAGAAATCAAAATTTTAAAATATGTTGTATGTATGCCTATTAAATTATAAATCTCAATAGGCATCAGAAATTGCCAAATATATTTGAAACTGTTTACTTACTTGGAGTATATTAATTAACGAGATCTATTTCAAATTTGGATTTTCTTAAAATTTATATTTGTAAATTTACAATAAATTGCTCTATGAAAAATATAGTTAATTTTATAATTCTGTTTATTGAATTGTTCCATTTTTCACTTATACATTTAGAAATTTTTATTTATTGTAGGAGAGGAGGTAAAAGATCCTCAGAAGTCAATTCCCATCAGTATAGTTCTTTCACTGTTGTTTGTATTCCTTGCATACTTTGGAGTCTCTACAGTGCAAACTCTCATGGTACCCTATTATTTGCAAAACAATGCTGCACCCCTTCCCTATGTTTTTGATTATGTAGGATGGCCTGTTTGCAGGTGGATTGTTGCAGTTGGAGCTCTGGCTGGTCTTTCAACAAGGTTTGCCAGTTTTTCAATAAATTATATTTAAAAAAAATATTTGAGAACATGTTTGGTTTGAACAGCAATATATGTCTATGTGACTAAGCATCTGGACAGATCTTACTTTTTAACAAGTGAAATTGAAAAATGCATCATACTCGCAAAAATTAACCAATGAGATATAATTGTAAAATTGCACCAAGGAGATATATTTTCTAATATACATCAATGAAGTATACAGTAGAGCGCTGATTATCCAAACTGCTCGGGACCGAACGCCGTTTGGATAATTGGAAGGTTGTTCAAAATCTAGTTTAAATTATCATTATTTATGTATTAACTTGCCTTCACACTTTTTCCAGGTTTAGGACTGGCAGTACTATCTAAAATAGCTCTGTTTAAAAAAAAATTCAAATTTTAAATATTTTTTATTTATTTTTTTTAAAACTTTTTTTTTCATTTTGAATTTTTTTAATCATATTTCAACTTTTTAAATTTTCTTTTGTCAATTACTGATTTAGCCACATTTTTCTTTATTTTCCACTGCAAAAGAAATCCAGCAAAGACTTTTGTTTCGAAGAAGATGCTCTTTTTTTAGCAGCCATATCCCTTATTCTTTTTAAATAAATCAACTGAACTGGATCAACATCATTTTGGCGTTCTGGTCAATTCATTGCAATATCTAATGAATTGCATGCTTCTGTATGAGATGGTCCACTATCTTGAATTTGATCACCTACGTCTTCCTCTTTGTTTGTGGAGTTCTGAATTTCATTCTAAATTTCAGCAACTATTTCATCATTTGAAATACCGGGACGTTTTCAGTGTCTCAACGACACCAGTCTTCTGTTTCTTCTGCTACATAACCTGGCATCTTTTCATCCGAATGATCTACTTTTTTAGAAATTTAGAAAAATTGTTAATAAGTTAAAAAGTATTCTAATCTTTAAAAAAAATAAATAAATCGGGCGCAGTTCGGATAATTGGACGATCGGATAATAAGGGTTCGGATAACCGGCGCTCTACTGTGCTTATAAAAATATTCCAGTGAGAGGGAGAGTATTATATCTCATAGCAATGTATCCCATAGTTACCATCTATAGATTAAAAAAAAAAATTGTTTCTTAGTAAGAATTGTTCCATTTAGCAAACTTTTTGGAAAATTTCTTTGGATGTTTGGAAATGGATAATTCCATTGTTATGAATAGAATTTTTTCTCATTTTAAAAACATAGAATTTATAATTTTTTTAAATTTATTTATCTATTTTTTTTTTAAGTTAAAAATTTTGAAACATTTTGTCAAAATAGTTTTAGCAACATTTTCAACTTTATCTAATTTTCATTAATTTTTTGTCAGTTTACACTAACAAACACAATGTGTTATGTCTGTAATAGCAAATTTATAGTTTTTTTTAAAGAATTTATATAATTAATAGCAGCTTAATGTTCAATAAAAGATGAGGCTAACACTCAGAGTTTATAAAAATTGTATCTGCTGAAATTTGGAAAAATTCCAATATATATTTGTTTGTAGTTTTTTTTCTTATATTAATGATTTACATTATATTAAATGCATACACTTTAGTTTGTAAGTTATGCTTCATCTTAAGTTATGCCTTTAAACTAATGAAAGATAAATGCAAATTAAGTTTTAACCGGAGCAAATTAGGCTGAATGTCTTACAATTCATTTTTATATTTTTTTTATAAAGCTACAGGGTATCCTAAAATTCGTTTCAGTTTATTAGGAGCCATTTTCCCTCTTCCACGTGTTCTGTATGCAATGGGTTCTGATGGCATCATTTTTCGATTCTTAGCTAGAGTTCATCCTCGTTTTCAGACTCCACTGATAGCAACTGCAGTTTCTGGTGTTTTTGCAGGTATTTCAAACTTTTATTTTTCTCCACCATTTCACATTTTAGTTACAAATGTTAGCATTCACTTGTATTATATTTCTATCCTAGCAGCATTTTCAATCTCAACTATTTCATAGCAAAATTTCATTTTTTTTCTTTACTGTTATATTTTTAAAGGTTGTGATCAAAACTCCCACAATTTTTATTTTTTAAATAAAATTTGTTCTGGTTATTAGTTAGTTTTTTTTTAAAATTTTAAATAACAATGGTTTTAAAATATATGTTTTTATGAAAAATAAGTTATTAAATTATGAATTTATCTTGTTAAATAAAAAAGCAAAATTAAGACACTGGCAAATGCATGATTTTGAACTGTCAAAGGTGTCTATTTTACGACAAAAACAGCCACTTTTTAGTTTTTGCTTATTCAGAAACATCAATGTTTTATAAATTTTTAATTAATTGTTGATAACTAAGCATTCATCAAATAGATAATCGCCCTTTGTTAGTTTTTAGGAAGTCTGAATGTTATTGTAAGACTTAAACATCTTCAAATGTTTGTAAACTTTAAATATTATCATCTGTATTTTCATAAAATATTAAGAGTATTTCCTTTAATCTATGCTAATTTGTTTGATTTGCAAAAAATATTAAGATCAGTGTATTTTTATTTATAATATATATACTTTTTATGTTTATATGGAAAAAATGTTTTGAAAAAATGTTTTTTTGTAAACGCACAAAGAAATTAGTAGTGATGTAGGAATTGTAGTCTAATTGAAATGCTTCTTTGAAAAAAAGAATCGAATGAAAAGAAAAATTAAGGATTTTCGAATACTTTCATATAAACTGCAGTTTTATAAAATGAATTTTGATATATTTAAAACTTAGTGTATCTGTTCTAACTTTTTGTGAAATATAACTTCAAAAAAAAAAATAATAATAAAATAAATAAATATATTGCATTCATATTAAGCAGTCTCATTTAATCAAAAATATAGTATGTAATATTTCTATGTGTTTGTTTCCTTAATTTACAATTTAATTAAATCATTACAACATATTTTATAACCTAACTAACAAGTAATGTAACTAACGCAATTTCTTGACCTAACTAGTTAGAAATCTGTAACTTTAAACACCATTTCCCTTGTAACAAAATACTTGTTCTGCTAACATATTCACATATGGAAGCTTCAAATATTATTCTGTTTATATTTTTTGATTTAGCTATTATAATTATTCTCATTTAAGAAAATAGGTTTTAATAATTAGGAGAAAAATTAATATTTTTTCATGATAGTATTTTTTCTAGTTGAAAGAAAATATTGCTTTTACTTTTTTGTTTTAGAAAATTGAATAAACATTTTCAAATATGTAATATGATCTTTACTCTGTAATCTTTGGCATCTGTATAAAAATGTACTTAGTTCCTATTAATTACTAAAGTTATAGTAATGCAGTTATCAGCAGAGTTACGGGATGTTGTTAATTATTGCATTTTTTTTTTTTTTTTTTTTTTTTTTTTTTTTTTTTTTTTTTTTTTTTTGCATTTTTGCTCTTTTTTTTTATCAGGCATTTTAATAATTTTGTTTAATAGTTTTTATTTTAAAAGCATTTTATTTGTGAATTAATTTCCTTTTTATAAATTACTGTAAATTTTGCACTGAATCTTGTATTTTAAATATTTAAATATGCTGTAATAATAATAATCATAGTTTTTCACTTCAAGAATTTTTAAATTTTTCAAGAAATTATCATTTATCTTTTTTAAAGTTAAATTTTATTATTATTTTAATAAAGACTAGTTCCATTTTATTTTGTTCATAAATTAAATATTTATTTTAATTACTAATTTATTTTTATTAAATTTATAAATGCAGTGCAGGTAACATATTGCATATATGAAGTATTTAGAAAATATATATATTGTTGTGTATGTATAGATACATACATATGTATGTAATTTTTTTCATCAAATGTTAATAATATCTCTAAAATACTAAATTTTATAATTAAAATTCAAACTTATTACTAATTATAAACTTTGAATTATCTAATATTGTTACCTTGCGCACATCCAGATTCCGGCCAATCCAAGGTAACTGAAATAACAAATCAAACACGCTTCTGTACTTTTGTAAGAACGAGCTGTTAAATGATCCCTTCGTCCCTATATACGCTTTTATTTTTATATTTAGATAGATATATTAGATAGCTAATATAAAACAACGCTTTAAAAATGTTAAGTTTTTTATTTTTCAATTTAAGGTAATATTTTAATTGTTTTTAGAAGCTTGTATTTTTAAGGGCATTTTTCAAGAATTTTTTTGTTATCAACATCCTAACTCTGGTTATAAGATTAATAAAGTTACATCTTTTTTAAAAGAAAGAGTTATTCATGCATATTCTTTAATTTTTTGTGTGAAAATCATAGGAACAATGGCTATGATGTTCAATGTCCAAGAATTAGCCGATATGATGTCTATTGGGACATTGTTAGCATACTCTCTAGTTGCTGTATCTGTTACTATTTTGAGGTACTTATTGATTTCCTATCTTAAGTTTTTAGTTTGATAACAATTTTATTGAGTGCACTACTTATTTTGTTTATTTTTATATAGATATCGTTGTCCAGATAATGTTCAGCCATCGCATGCAAGGTACTCATCGATTCAGAAGTAAGTATATTATTAAATATTTAACTAATTTGCAACTTGTCATAATTTACACAAGAATTTCACTCCCAGGCATAGCATCTCCTTTGAATAACATGTAGGAAAGCTGATTTTCTGTGCAAATCAAACGAATTGTATCCTGCTCTAATTTAGGTGAAAGCAGATTTTAGGATTTATAATTAAAAAGTTAATATGAATTTTGAGTAAAATGTAACTACTATTTAAATTAGGGCTTTTAGCCAGTAGGCATGTGATAACTCTTAACCCACTTGCTGCATATTTTGTGGTTCTCTTTGAGCAATGTAGAAATAGCAAAATTTGTGCAGTCTGTGATTTATATGGATTTGAATGTTTCCTGTCTATTTAAAGTTGAATCCCTTTCTTTTCCTGTTAATGGTTTAATTTTAGCTTTTCTGTGATGTTTTGTTGTTTATTCACATCTGGGTTAACATATAATTAAGTTGTCTACATTTTAGGAAATATTCGATACTTAATTCCACTCTTTTTCTCAAACATGTCTGGCAAGAAGAGCTTTACAAGTGACATAACCTACATTCCTGACAATATTTTCGACACTAAAAGCAGTCTCTGATTTCAAGTACTCTGATTCCAGTGATAGTGGAAACAGATGGGATGTGTAAAATATTCCCTTTGCTCCTGCTTCATTTCAATATTTTTTTGGGGCAGAAATTTTGCTATTATATGATTATTATTCTGTTACAATTTCCTGACAACCTTCTTTTATAATCTAATTCTATATTTAAAAAAAAAATTTTTTTTTGTATATTTTAACACTAAAATATATGTACATTTGAACTTTATAATAATTTAAAAAAAAAAAAAACACTATTTTTGAATCTATTTTGTTGAAAAAAAATTATGCAGCAAGTGGGTTTAATTTTCTAAAATTCTGTGTATCACTTTACTGGTTAAATAAATTTCTGGAAAATATTTAAAACTGTTAATAATTATCTGCAGCTTCGTAATTTTAAATAATTTTTTTTTAAAATTCAAGCATAGTTTTAGGTTTTTCTTTATTAAAAAGTGAAAAGTTATTTGTAATTCAAACAATGAATTTATTTTTGAAACAATTATTAACACAGTTATTAATAACATTGTAATTTCACTATCTCTAGGAAATACCTGCTGCAAAAGGTGCAAATGTTGGCAGCTGTGAATTTTCGATGTGAGAGGACTATATAGCAAAATAAATCAGCACTTTTAATCTTAATATTTTAGTTTTGCCATAATGCCCATGAAAAGATGAGGCAAAACCGTAAATTTATAGTACAGTTTGAAAGTCCAAAAGTTTATTATAAATGGATTCTATCTTACCAAATTTTATGAGAAATAAAAATTGGTCATTAAAAAGTGATTGATTTGATGTGGAATGACTCAATCAATTTACCAGTTAAAATGTTAATAATTTTTTATTTAATAGTAATGACAACTAAGAAAATTTGAATTTTCTTTGATTATATAGAATTATGTCTTGTGATTTCTTTGTATGATAAGAATACTGAAAAGAATTATCACCTAATCATGAGATTTTTTTCCCCAGCTCACAGAAACCTGGTTATGAGACCGAGGGTAATGGTAAAGCAAGTTTGTCAGACTCTTTAGCCATTCCGCTAGAGAAGATAACTTACAATGCTGTATTTAGACAGTTGTACAATTTAGACAGAATCGAGAAACCAACTGCATTAACATCAAAAATAAGTTTTTCTCTTATTACCATAATATGTAAGTTATATTTGATTCTGATTTTTTTTATAAATATATAAGTTACATAAATATATGTGTTACATGCTGACATAAGTTATTTTACTTTGTAAAGAATTGAGAAAGTCCATTTGAGAGACATGTAAAATTATTATACATCGTGTGGGAACATTTTTGCTTCAAACCATATTTTTTTTATGGTTTCTAAACAACAATTTAAAGTGTTATGTGTTCTTTTCATTTGTTCAATGTATCAAAATTATGGTCAATAGATGAATAACTCTATTATAAATAGCTTATCTATTATCAGATCAATTTGTTTAGCACTTTTTATTTTTGTATTCAATAAATTGTTTTAAACTTACTTTATGTTATAGCATCTAGTTATTTTAGTTAATATTTGTTTCAAAGTTTTACTGTGCATAAAATAGGTTTTGAAGTGATTACCTTCAAAATAAATAAATAAAATTTGAAACCTATGTGCCCTAGTGACCTTTTTTTTTACTTTTTAAAAAAATTTTGGTTACATTTTAAAAAAATATTTTATTTATGATCAATTAGATTCTGTGTTTAAAATAAATAAAAACCTTTTGAAAATTTTTTTTTATTAAGTTTATTTCTTACAATGTTTTTTTTTTGTTTTTTTTTTTTGCACATTTTATCCCACTTGTAACACATGTTATTTGTTGCTGTTTTAAATACGAAATACAATTCAAATTCAAAAATATAATGCATGTTACCATTCTATACATACTAAATATAGTTTTTATGATTGTGTAATTTTGTGTAGTTTTTTTAGGCTTGAATTTAACACAATATAGCTTAGATGCTTCCTATTTTCATTGTTAAAATCTACATTTAATACAATTATTATATGTATAGTATTCAAATTTTACTCATAATTTAAATTTTATTTTAGCACAGTTTTATTTCCTATTCTTAATTTTTACACTTTAATCTTTAAATATAAAGATTAATTAGTACTATGACCTATCTAAGTTTATTTTATCTAATTTTATTTTNAACCTTTTGAAATTTTTTTTTTTATTAAGTTTATTTCTTACAATGTTTTTTTTTTGTTGCATATTTTATCCCACTTGTAACACATGTTATTTGTTGCTGTTTTAAATACAAAATACAATTCAAATTCAAAAATATAATGCATGTTACCATTCTATACATACTAAATATAGTTTTTATGATTGTGTAATTTTGTGTAGTTTTTTTAGGCTTGAATTTAACACAATATAGCTTAGATGCTTCCTATTTTCATTGTTAAAATCTACATTTAATACAATTATTATATGTATAGTATTCAAATTTTACTCATAATTTAAATTTTATTTTAGCACAGTTTTATTTCCTATTCTTAATTTTTACACTTTAATCTTTAAATATAAAGATTAATTAGTACTATGACCTATCTAAGTTTATTTTATCTAATTTTATTTTTTATTCAAACTTTTTTTGATGTATAAAATGAATATGAAATTTCATTAAAAGTTTAAAATTATGAGGGGCAAGGTTTTTTTTTCTATCAAAAATTGAAGGTTTTAATGAAAGAAACCAATTAGGTTTAATAAATCATTAGGTTTGTAATGAGAATTTTTTTATGATTATAAGCGTTGTTTTTAATGAAATTTAATATGATCATCATTAACAATTACTCTTTTTTTATTATTATTAATTTGGATTGTTCAATGCACACTTTTATTTTTTCTTCTAAAAACCTACACTTTATCATTCTTGTACAACATATGATTTTCAATCTAATCTTGTTTTTAATCATTTATTTTTCTAAAAAAAAAATCGCATCATTCTATAAAGTTTAAATTTTTATTTTTATTCAATATTGATACTGCACTGTACTATTTGTCCCCCCTCCCCGAAAAAAAAAGACCACACTGAAAAACTTTTAATATAATAATCAGGTCTTCACTATCTAGAAATCCATCTTAATCATTCAAAGGCTAATATATACTAACCTCAAATATGCTAATTAATAAGTGCAGATGATATTTTAAAATACAAAGTCAAACACAAAAACGTACTTTCTCCAAATAAACATATCTATTTTTCAAGATGAATTTAGGTTTCTGACCCCCTAAACATGGAGGGTAACCACAGTCTGGGAAATATGGTCCCCATTTTTCGGCCAGCAGAGCGCTTTAAAATTTGAACTGCTTCATGTTAATTTTCCTTTTTGCATATTTCACCATATCTCGATTCAACTAATTCCAAAATTTGTTCTATTCCCATTCATTCATCCATAAATAATTCAAAGCTAAAGATAAATTTCGGTACATATTTATTATTTTTTTTTTATTTTATTTAAAAATTGTCTAAAATGTTTTGAATTGTAAGCTATGCAATTTTTTACATAATCTTAAAGTATCTTATTTAACATGGTGAAATACAAAGTTCTAGCAAAATTGATTGAATAATTGCTAAAAAATTGAATTTTAAATGTACGACTTTTTTAAAATTCCTATACTCATGAACTGGTCAACCAATGTTATTATTATTATTATTATTTTTATTTTTGCTCAAATTTCTTATTTTGCCATGTTAAATAAGATAATTTAAAATGATATAAAAAATTACATATATTGCAGTTCAAAATTTATTAGACTGTTATAAAATAATAAATATTTGCTAAAATTTATTTTTTGTATTGAATGATCTTTGGATGAACAAATTTTATAATTGTATGCAGAAAATATTTAAATTTGCTCTAAAAGTTCTCGAGATATAGCGAAATACGCAAAAAGTAAAGTTAGCATTAAACTTTTGCTAACGGCTGGTACACATGATAGACTAGAACAGCAGGTGTTTATTTTGTTTACATCAATTGTTCAATTTTGTTTACATGATTTAGTTTAATTTAATTTTATCATTAAATAATTAAGTTTTTTTTAACAAACCTTTTTATAATTGCATTGTAGAGTACTGGCAACATTATCTTTCTTTCTTTGTGAACAATTCATAAATTTACAATTCAATTATAAAAAATTGTAATTTATGTACAGTAGGGAACCGATTATCCGGAACGATCGGGACCATCGCTATTCCGGATAACTGATTTTTCCGGTATTCTGAATCGTTACAAAAAGCCATTTTTTTATTGTTAAACCCAACTAAAAAAAAATTTTTGGAAATAATCTTAAAAAGAAGAAAAAACGATGAAGTAATACACTAATGATTATTTCCAAAATGATGGTAAGGTAAAAATCTTTCAAAAAAGAAAGAAAAATCCTAAAATCTTATGAGGAAAAAAAAAATTTTTTTTCAAAAAATGACAGGAAAATTCATCAAATTTCGTTCCGGTTTTTTGGTTTTCTGATTTCAGGATAACGGGTTCTGTACTGTACATATATAGCTTAGTATTTGTTACACCTTTGAAATTAATTTTAATCCTATCATTAAATATTTTTCAAACCTCTTTAGATTCTTTTTAATATAATATTTTTCTAATTTTTATTCTTTAATGTTACAAAAAATTTAGTAACTTTTATTATAAAGTAGTTTAGTAATTTTAGCTAATTTTTACTGTAGAGATTTAAATCTTCAATTTGTGAGAGCAATTTGGTTTTGTATGTAATTTATTAACATACCATAATTGTACTTTTATGCTGTATAATAATTTGTATAAAATATATGTGTCCTGAAATCTACCAAAATTTTTCTCCTATTTTGTTTTGTTCGTATATCTGCCTTGCAGGTCTAAAAAATATGAATAAAATTATTTAGGTTATTTTAAGCTGAAATCATCCTTGTATGTTATATCCAGAATCTTACTAAGAAATTTTGAAAAGTTCTCATCAAATTATTAGGAACATAATTTTATTTGTTGCAAATTAAAACACATTTGGGCAAATAATATTTTTGTTTTTGTTAATTTAAAATATCATTTCTTATAATTTAAAGTGCTTTTTTCATATTAAATTCAAAGTTATAAACATGAATTATATTATATTGTAGGTACATTGATTGTTATATTAGACGGACAGCTGGCATTAAATGAGACAGGCTTAGCAGAAAAAGATTTATTATCGTTTTGCTGCTTAGGTTTAACACTTTTTTTTATTCTCCTTTGTCTTATCATGCTACATAGGCAGCCATCAGAACAAACCAAATTATCATTTAAAGTAAGTATTTTACATGCTTCAATAATAAAATTGTAGCTATAGATGTCTGTGTTTATCATATATTTTACTAGAGAATGTGAAATTAATTGATATAACAGAACAGGGATGACCAATCCTTAGAACATTGGATGATTATAACTAGCTCTTCAGTCAGTTCTGATACACACCCCGTCATACATTAGAGATTTTCACAAAACATTCTTTTCAGATCTGAAACAGAAACATATTAAAATAAATAGAATTTTTTCAAAACTTTTATTGAAATCTGAAAACATAACCATTTGTCTATTTCAGAGATGATTGTGGTTTGGAAAAAATCCGAATTTCTGAATTTTTGGCTAATCGCGATCCAAAAGTCATAATCTGAGGAAATCAGAGGTCTAGAAGTTTCAAGAAATCATCAATCACATTAATGTCTAAAAAATTTGGTATATTTTATTTAGAGACAGAAGAACTAAAATTTATACTTGGCATCTCTTTAATTTCATAATATTTTTTCATTTAGAATAATAAATGTGATTCGACATAAAAGTAAACTTATGCATAATTATTCATTTAAATTATACTGAATATAATTTATTTAGAATTTCATGCTTTTAAAATATCATTGATTTAAATTTATGAAGACATTAATTTTTTGAAATGCATCATTAATGATTTTACTCAAGAAATTTTCGGGATTTTTGAGTTGGGCTCACAATTACCCCTGCTATTTGACCATTTTATACATCTGTTTAAATTATTAAAATGTACTGGTGCACAAAATACTTATAATTCTAATTAATTGGGAAAAAAAGTAATACATTACCTCTGCTACCACTACTTAAAAATTTTCTGTAACTACAGAAATTCTAGAGTAGTTAATGGTTATGCTGATTTCTTTTTCAGATTCTATTAGCTTTATTTTAATATCCGTTTCTACCAGGATCGTTTATTAATTGAGGACACTGGGTGAATTGATGATCTGTCTAAATATTGGTGCATGATATGCTCCATGATCTTTGTTTACAACACTGTTTGAACCACATAGTTGGTAGTAATGTTGTTTGATACACTATAGAAGATTGCAGTTCTTGAATGTATAATTTGAAAATCTATATTCTTAATATTTTTCTTAACTTTTTTGGGGTTTTCAAGTACAGATAATTACTGTTTTTACCATTTGAAGGCACTCTGCTGAATTTTATTTTTGTTTCTAAATTTTCTTCTTTTTAATTTTTGTATCAAATTTACTAAAAATTGATCAATTTATTATTTTCGAGTTTGACACAATAAATTCTCTTTTAAGAGCTAAAAGTGACTGTATCAGTTAATTGAATAGACTTATTGTGACTGTATCATTAAGTTCATCATCTAATCAAATCAATCAATGTATTATTTAGGGATCATCCCGTTGACCATTTTCATATTTTGGGATTATCCAGTCAACCATTCTCTTACTTCGGCATTATCCCGTCATAAATTTTCGCCAAACCCGATACTGCCAAAAGGTAATTTCAGCGCCAATAACCCCAAATTTTATAATATTTACTGTGTAATCCTTGACAACGCAAGTTAGTTTTCTTTAGCATGTTGAAATATACTGTTTTTTTTTTTTTTTTTACTCCGCTGTAAAGCCAGACTACCTGAAAACACTAGCATTCGTATTTAAACGAATTTATGTGGTTACAAGGTAATGATTTGTTTGTTTGACCTTTAAAAGTTATCAAGGATTTTTGGCCCACGAAATTATTTATAATAATACATATATGGTTAGATTCAAGAATAATTCAATGTGTAATTATAAAAAAAAAATATTACTTTGTTTTGAAACTTTTTTTATTACGTATTTTTACTCTTACGTTTTTTTAAATTATTATTTGATAAATTTAAAATGTTTATTTTGGAAATTGCTTTTCATTATGATGGTGCCAAAGAATTTGTGCATTTTTGCGAACATTGACAGACTAATGGAATAATCCCAAAGTACCTTTGTTTGTAATTGAAAGTTGATATGCCAGTTTGAAACCTTATAACTTTTTTTTCTCACTCAAATTTCAATATATGTATTGAAACTCTTGAATGTGTGCTTAATTTTGAAAGTAAGTTTATTATTTAATAATGTGCTGAATATTTAAAGAAAACCTCCATGGATTTATGTTATTTCAAAAACTTTTCTTTTATTGCAATCTATGAAATCTTAAATATTTTACTGCAAAGACAAAGCAACATATGTACTTGTGCATGTTTTCTAAACAAGTGAAAATTCGTGTATTTGGTTTGCCGGAAAACTTTGCGCAGCTAAGTATGAGTAGTAGGTAATTTAATCAGAGTTATTTTTGATATTGGTTTTTTAAATTCCTAATATTTACATAAATGTTGCTTAAATATATTGTAATAAATTTCTTTATTATTTGGCAGGTTCCTTTAGTTCCATTTATTCCTATGTTAAGTGTCACCATTAATACCTATCTGATGTTCAAATTGTCTGTTCTTACTTGGGAAAGGTTTGGTGTTTGGATGGCAATTGGTAAGCATTTGTGATTTATTTATTTCATTCTTATATGTATATATTTTTTAACTATCAGTTGAAATTTAAATATGTTACTAAGTATGGGTGAGCCGTGATAACTCTAGGAATGCAGCACCAATAAATTGAACCGTGTTCGAATCCCAGTGATAACCGGTCGATAGGAATTCCGCATCCGACTTACACAGACTACAGTGCTGACAAAAAATATCTTCAGTGGCTTACGTATAATGGTTTAGAATCTCCTTGCTGCCAGACTAGCAGTTAGAGGTTTTCCTCTCCATGTAACACAAAACGGGTTAATTCCATCAAAAAGCCCTCCACAAAGTCAAATTTCTCCCACTACTTGATCGAGTAATTCCCTTGTCTTCTGAATTGAGTTCAAAATCACAAGGCTACAGAGTTGAACATAGGTAGTCGTAAACTGAAAATTTGGTCGGCTGTTCAATGACGGTTATAAAATAGAATAAGCATTGGTGATTTTCTCAAAGCATTAACTTTTGCTTGCAACAATTAGGAAAAATTCATCTTATAATTAATGCACTGTTGACAATTTTTACATTCAGACAAGACATCTAAGTATACAATTTAACAATGTACTTAAGAATGCAAATTTAGGGTCAATTTTAATTACTTGAAAAAATGTAAATACTGTCCCCTTCCCCCACTAAAGCACTTTAATAACACATAAAGATATATTTTTTTCTATGTATCAACAGTTAATAATTGTAGGGGAACATTAGTTATAATATTTAATTGGAAATTTAATTAATATTTCCTCAGAAAATTTTTTTATAGCTCGAATATTAATGAAATATTAAGAATTGGTACTTTTTCATAGTAAAAACATCTTAGTATATAGATTTTTATAATACCTTGAAGTAAGACCATATTCTGTAAGCAAACACTTAATAATTTACAATCAAAATTTGTTTTTGTGTACAGGAACAGTAATAACAATGACTGGAAAAAACATCATTTAAAAAAAAATACTTATTTTTTCGTAACTACACCATTTGCTCCATAATAATTTCAAAACAGAATAGATATTACTTGTAATAAAATTTAGTATATAAATTTTATCTAAAATGTGAAATGGGTACAGATCTGCCTTGGTGGTATTTTAAATGATACATAATTTATTTTTTTGTATATCTTGCGTCTTCGACCAATGAAACCTTCGTCCAAACAGCCCAGTAAAATTTCATTTAACTTATTACTTGGTTAGAAGTTTTATTCTTGATCTTCTCATTATCCCTTATATTTATACAATTAATTTAAAATTAAGAAATCTCAATGACTAATTAAAACTAAAATGGCCAATTTATTTTAATACAAAGACATAAAAATTTTTTTTAAGTAATGAAATTCATATTTATGCTCTCAATCTTTTAAATAAAAACTGACAAAAAAATTAAAATAAACGATTTCAGATATTAAGGTTGTTGAAATTATAACTTTTAAGCAGTTGTGCAAATATTTTAAATTATTCAGTTCTCAATAACAGTAAAAAGGCTAAACAGTAAAATTTATAAATTGCAAAAATGTTTAACGTAGAAACTTATTATTCACTAAAGGAAAAATTTAGCTATAAATACCCTTTTTATGTAACCCTTTTTATTAATTTAAATTTCACAATATTATTCTGTAGCTCATTTAGAGAATCTTTATGAAAGTTTTACATAAGGTTGATTTTAAAGTCTATTTATAGCTGAAAAGTGTGGTTGCTAAAAAGTGTTTAAAACTTTTTTTTTTTTTAATTTGCATTAAGAAGTATAATTTTTGTGTTAAAAAATTCATGTAAAATGATCTTTTAAATTTTTCTACAATACTACTAAAGTAAAATAAACTCATCCATGTAATGATGATTCTGTGTCAGTAGATGAAATTTGAAGATTTTCTGGTGAAATTTAAAAGGTTATGGATATTTTTTTGTGGTATTTTTTAATTGCTATATACATTGTTCGATTTTATTTTCAGATTGTAGGATTTATCAATAAAAATTCCTTTAAATTAAGTCCAAATTTACGATGAAATTTCATGTTTGTTTAAATTAAAAATTTATATTACCCTTGATTATTACAGTTGACACACACAGCCATAATATGCTTTTGAATTTACAATTTCTTCTTTTTTTAAAAAAAATAATTTTCAGATTTTTTTTCCTGTTATATTTCCCAGGAAATTTAAAAATTATCATGCTTCTGAAAACTTTCTGTCATGGCCTTTTTAAAATGTAACTAATCAAATAAAACTTTGAATCTGTGGATTAATATAGATTACAGTCAGATGCTGGCCATCAATAATTAATAGTTTGAAAAAGTTGTATCAATTAAATTAATTCTTCTATGGTCAGTTTTACCATCTTAATCAAAACTTGAAATTTTTTGAATTCCATATTTTCTAGCCTGTTGATTAATTATTGATATCTTATTTTTGTTAAAAATTTTGAAGAACTTGTGAATTACCAATATAAAGCAAGACTCTAAATCAATGGTGGTTCGTTAGTTTGGGACCACTGAAAATTTGATTTAGACCACTAAAAAATTTTTTTTTTAATTTTCCCCCCTAACCAAATATTGAAGAGGCTAATTTTGGATTATTTTTACTTTGTTCTTACCCTTTCAGTTTTTAACAATATTTTAATTTCTCAATACTTAGAAGATTATTTTATAACTTTACAGGTGTTTAAGTTCATGTGATTTCTCATACTTATGAATTAAGTTAGTTTGAAGGACTGGCAATTAATTATGAACAAAAACAAGTTTTTTATTTTTTTTTTTAACTCCCTTTGCCTGGAAATGTTGCATTAAATGTGTAACTTGTATCAACTACTTAGGTTACTTTCAATAATAGATGAACTTTCATAAACCTAGCTGAAATATTTATGGATATTTTTATAAAAAGCTATAATGTTTTTGTCTTATATTTTTTTATTATAACTTTAAAATTATAAACAATTTTCTAAATAAAAAAATTATTATTTAAGAAAATGTTAAAAAATATTCAAGATGTAAGTGTTTAAAGTAGTTTTTTTATACTGTGCATGCAGGGAAAATTTTTTCATATTGTTGTAGTTAATTAAGTTTGTAATGTATGAAAAAAGTTCAATTTAAATATCTTGATAATTTAAAAAGTTTAAAGTAACTTTCTAAATAGTTTTTGTAAATTTTTAAAGAGAGCTTAGAATGGTAAGAGGTTTTCCTCAACTTTCATTTTTATATTATGATGCAAAATTATGATTTAATAATAAATTATATTATCTGATGCAATGAGTATATTACGATGCAATAATAAATGATAGTAGCTTACAATAATCGTCCATACATTGAAATGTGATGGTATAGTATAAAGAAAGAAAACAAAACATACTTGTATGGGTATGTTGCATTATAGTGCCAGTATCATTTTTAATAAATCTTGTTTAATAGTACCAATTGTCATTTGTGGAAAAACTCTTATCTTTGAGAACTTTATTAAAAATAAAAAATTGCTTTAAATTTTCAAGATATTCAATTCGTATATTTTTCATTAATTACCCAACACAATTCACTACAAAATTGTGAAAAAAATATTTTAAATTTTTTAAGAGACAATTGCAATTTTTAATGAATTTTATTCAAAATTGAAAATAGTTTTGTTATTGATTAAAAATTTTATTAAATTTTTTTAAAATTATACTACAGAAAAAACTTAAGAAAAAAAAAGAACACCCATACCACTATAAGGAATTAAAGCTAGGTTTACGAAATTTCATACAATTATTTCAAATAGAAAACCAAAGTAATTGATGCAAGTTAGAAGCTTACTGCTATATTTTCTGCCATATAGGGTTATCAAAAATGCTTGTTTTTGTTACTAATTTATTGCCAAGCCCTCAATCTTCTGAAAGCTTTAAAATTTATTGATAAGTATGAGGAATCACATAACCTAAAGACTTCTAAATTTATGAAATGATCCTCTAAGTATTTCTTGAGGAAAGATTTTAAAAAAAAAGTCAAAAACTAAAATTTATTTCTTAGCTAATTTTAATTTTTTTATATCTTTATGATTTTATTAACTTTAATGGCAATATGTCTATCACTCGTTTATCCTAAATAACCATTCTTGAACACGTTATTCTTGTCATTAAATCCTACATTTTATCTTTAAACAGGTTTCTGTGTCTACTTCTTTTACGGTATATGGAATAGCTCAGAGCGTAAAGACAGTGGTGGTGCCAAAAATGTATTCTGTGTTGATGGCACACAATTAGTGGACTGTAATGACGTATTGAATGGCAGTCCTTTGCACAAAGGCAAGGCCAGTGTTGAAAGCAATATGTCTGAATTAATGGGGAGCTGCAATTCCGCTGAAGTTCAGCTAATATCCAGTCACCCTTCCAATGGAAGAATTTAGTTGATTCTTCCTCCCCTAGCGTTGCTTCCATTAAAGGCCAAGTGATTGCAGAAGATTATTGAAAACTGTGATGCGTTCCAAAGAGTTTTTTTTTTCCTTCTTTTTTAGAAAAAAATGTGCATATCTTTCTTAGATTAACAGGTTAATTCACTATTCAGGCGATAATAAATTTGAGAACGGGTGTCAGTAGAATGTAATTTAAAATATTAGTGATTTTACGGGGAAAATAATTAAATCGTGAACCACAAGAGGGAAAAACTGAGAAATGTTAACGTTTTGAGAAAAAAATCATTTGTCAGGTACCCTAAAAGTCGGAATTAAATAAATTCATTTTATTTTTAAATATTATTTACAAAAGAATTAGTCTTGTATTAATTCTTAAGAAAAAATTATTTTTCAACCCTAAAAGCAAGTATAAATATTTTGTAATATATTCTTTTCCTGAGAATAAGGCATAACTATAAAATTAATAATTAAAGTAAGGCTACTAGTTAGAAGAATCAAGGATAATTGATAGAATAATTGTGAAAAGAAAAAAGATGTGTTTCTGGCCACCCGGTTGGTTAGTTTGTTTAGTTATTTGCAAGTGAAGTTAAATAAATTTTAGTAAAAAGTGAAAGCAAATTGATGCCACATAATTAAAATGATCATATGCGTGCTATTATATGCTGACATTTACTGAATTTCAATGATTATATATTGTAAACGATGGCTGTTGACATGATATTTATGCTGCGTGTAACTTAAAATTTTTTATTGTTTGAATAGGAAATTAGTCTTCTGTCTTAAATACTTCATTATGTATTATTTTTCTAAACTAATTTAAGTAAAAGTTTGTCATTTTAATTTAAGTAAGGTTGGAAATTCGAAACAATTTATGCATATTTAAAAAAAAAAATTCCCTTTAAAGGAAGAAAATATTGTTGAATTAAAATTGTACTTTTCTTTTTTCATATACCTTATAATGCTTGGCAAATGACCTTAAACTGAAATTAAAAAAGTTTTTTTAAGAAAAAAAAACACATTTATATAATTGTAGACACCAGTTTATAAAAATCTATACAAAACAAAATTAGTTAAAGAATTAATGTTAAGCATCATTCCTGTTGTAAATAATCGTTTTATTTCGTTGTGTGTAGTAGTTTTGTTTTAATATGTGTTGCTACTTGTTTTAGTCATGAACTAGTTAAACTTTAATGAATAAAGTGTAAGGAAAATTTATCTAACTCTAACAGTATTGTGCATGTTATTCACACAAAGATACTATGATTGCCATGAAAAAGCAATTATTCTATTGACACTGATCCTTTTTTTTCACCTTAAGTTACAGTTCTGAATAGGATTTAAAATTGTTCGAAATTATTTTCACTGCTATTTTGATTTAAAAATATTATGAACTTCGCATTTCAAATCATATTTCAGGGTGAAGTTTATTAAAACAATAAATGTTGAATTTCTTATACATTTATTTTTGTCTAGTCATGACTTTTTTTAAATTAAATATGTGGCTGTAGTGTATAAATAATGTAATCATTAATTTAGTTTTTAAAGATATATTTATTTTTCCCCATGTCTAATTCAATGTAACTTTTATCCAATTATGAGATTATTAATAATAGAAAGCAAAAAAGTTTTGTCAATTTAAAAATCAAATTAAATGTAATTTTATTTTTTGTTCTAATCAAAAAATATATAATTCCGTTTTATGTAATTTTAATTTTCAATATTATGTTTGTAGGCAGCAATTTCCTTTTTACAATCTCGTGATAATTTTTATTACATGAGCCAACTATTTCATTTATTTTGAAAATTTTTAGTTGAGTGTTCATATTTATAGTGTTCTTACACTATTAACTATTTTTTTATACATCCTTATTTATGTAGTCATGAAGTAAAATGTCATAAAAACAACCTTTTTTTTTTTTTTTTTAACTATTTTTGATTTATTTCAATGAACATGATTTTTTTAAAATTATTATTTAACCTTCCCTAAAAATTACGCCTTTATGAATCTTACTGGTTTCAGATTCAAATTTTCTGTTGATGATCACTTTGTATGCGTAAAACTTTATTATTGTATTTATATTTTGATCATATTTTTAACTTTTGTATTAAATTTTAATTCAAAATACTGAATTCCAATGTCAAATAATTTTGCCTCTGCCCAATTTAAATTTTCCAGAAACTTTGTGATAATTTCTTTGACATAATTTACTTTTAACACTGCATTGTATTCCCCTTGTAAGTTATGTTACTGTTTTATGATATTTTAATGGTGCAAACCTTTAATTAATTTGGGAGATATGTCATTCATATGTTTTAAAATTTTTCTTATTAAAAAAACAGTATGGTTAAAATTTCCTTTATTTGAAAAAATAGGTAAAATCTCTCAAGTTAATTAAATTATATTCAAATGACCTTAATTATTCTATGAAACATTTCATAAATTTTATATTAATTACTTACTATTTTTTGCAGACCATTTATTAATATAAACTTGAATCATTAATAAATTCAATAGCATTGAAATCAAAGCTATAGCAATTATTTATTCTTTGTTATTAGCATTAACTTCCAATTAGAATTTTTGTAAATGGAGCTATTATAAAATAGTTTATAAAGAAGGGTTTTCTAACCAGAGGAATTAAAATGAGTCTTAATTAATTCACCCATATTCATTATGAATATTGTCTTCTCGAAGAATCCTGTTTAATGTGATTCAATTTTTTAATAAATTTTGTAATATCCGATTCCTAGCTAATACAGGATAATCCATAATTTAAGCGATGTGGTTTTTCTTTGATAGATTTTGAGCTAATAATTTTGCATTTATACTGAACTTAATGACCGGAAATTTTAAATGGAAAGTTTTATCAAAATGGAATGTTTGGATTAGTGTTTATTCTTAAATAAAAACTTAACGATCTGAGATGAATGTTTGAAATTGGATCCAGCTTTATAAAAGATTTATTAATTTTCCAGACCATACTTAATTTTATAAATTTAGGTTTCGGCAATATAAAACTAAGTTGTTGCACTCTTAATGAAAATAGTTATTTTTCTTGACATGATGGACCTATAATATCTATTTTTAGTATACACTATATTTAGCATAATATGAAAATATGCTTCTAGTTTGTTACATGAAAAAATTAAATGAATGCAATACCATCAAAAAGCAATCACAACACTTAGTTGGTCTCAAGATTTTTTTTTCTTTTAATGATTTGTTTATTCAAAATTGTATTTGTAAAAAAAAAGTTTATAGATTGTTAACCCTTTAATGCAGACATTTATTTTAAACATATTTTTAATACTTTTTTTTCATTATTTTGTATTAATTTAGGTCGAAATAAATGGAAAATATCACTATAATTAGCATTTAAATAATTTATGGTTATGAAATAGAGCATGAAACACTGGTTTTTATTTTCTGCATGAAAGGTAAAATCTTCCAAACAATAATTTTTCAAAATTGCACTTATTTTAGAACTAAGAGTAACAGTTATTCATCATTAAAATTTCTTTAATTTGGAAAAATCAATTATTGATAAATTTATAAATGAGGAAAAAAAAAGTCAAACTTTTTCTGTTTCTTATAATTTTTACTTGCGATTTGAGCATGAGAAAAAAAATATATAAAAGGGACAGCAGTGTCTCATCTGCAACTAATAGTTAAAGTATAATATGCATTTTAAATTGCATATAATTAAAAATGTTTCTGCAATTATTTAATGAAATATAATGAACAAACATTTCTTATCTGTCAGTATATAAATATTTAGTGATATATTACGACAAAAAAATTATTAATGCAAATCATTAGTTCAAATATATATGAGAAAAACTTTTCTGTTTTAATAAGAATTGTCTCTATATCTAAAGTACAAACCTAAAAACTACATTAGCTTTTGATTGTAGAAGATACAATTTTTTAGTCAAAAATTGCAGCTCTGTACATAAAACAAGTTTTTATGTAAGATCTACGAATGTCCAAAAGAAAAATATATTTATTTTCCCTGGAGTCCTCAATGTGAATAATTTTTTTCTAAATAAATTTTTATAAAGCTTTTTACAGTGATCAGAATTTTTTTATTTACAATAATGCATGTAAGTTTTTATAAAATTGTTTGTGATACATAAAGCCTATAAACATAAAAGGGGAAAAAGTGTAAACAAAGCACAACTAAAAGTACAAAAATAGGCATACTATAGTTTGGGTTCTATGGACAAGAACAGTCTTTAGTGTCTAAACACAAAACTTTTGGCGTTTAGACATTGAGGAATGCTCTTGTATTTAGAACCCAAACCATAGTATGTCTATTTCTGTACTTTCAGTTGTGCTTTATTAACTTTTGTTTATATAAACCCAATTGACTTCCAAATATTGACTGATAATTTTTGTAAATTCTACTATAAAAATTAAACAATTTTTCTAGTTTTGTTTTTTTATAAATTGGCACTATTTATTAGAATTACATCGATGGTTATCGAAAATGTATTTAATATACTTTAATCATAATTGTATGTATGTGTTTTAAAAGTTTTCATTTCAACGATAATCAAATATTTAAAAAAATTTAAAATGAAGAATGCTTAATTTTAAAGAAATGAAAAGTTAAAACATCTTTAAAAAAATAAAATGGTGTTTTGTAAAATAAATATGTTTTGAAATTTTTTCGAAAAATTAATACTATTCTTAAACTTTGTTATTGAAATCGTTTTGAATAAAATAAGTTTAGTGATTCCTATTTAAAAAAAAAACTTAAATATCAACAGATATTTTAAATTGATTAAATTTTAATCGTTAATAAAAGGGGATGTACCTTTAAAAAATAGAGTTAAAAAAATGTAAAGTGGGTTAAAAAATGCTTCAGGATTTTTTCCTGGAAAATATATTGATACAAATTCAAAATCAGTTTTGTATATTTGTCAAGTTTAGAATAATTTTTATTATTATGAGAGAAATGAAAAACCAGGACATACCATTTAGTTCTGTTGTTTTCAGGTGAATTGAAATTGTTTATTTGCTGTGACAATTCCTTGCACTAAAAAAAATTTATCTAAAATTAATCATTTCAACAAAATTTCATTTTACAAAAAATAATACTGAATCTTGTAATTAAAGAAAAAAAAATGAACTAAATTGCAACTTTGTGAACAGTAGGTTAGCTGTAGATAATATTGTTTAAATTGACTTAATATCTAAATTAAACTTAAATCAAAACCAGATGATTAATCAATATGGAAGAGATTGCTGAAAAAAATAAAGAAACTATTATCAAATAAAGCAGTTACATATCGAAAGCTGATACATTTTTGTCATTGACTTAGAAAACATGTTCATTCAATATTGGCTTGAGAATTTTGAAGTTATTTCTACACTATTATAAATAATTAAACTTAATTTATCAAAGCTTGCAGGTTGGTATATCTTCTTTATAAAAGTTTTATTTCTGTAGTTGCATAATATAAAATGAGTTATGTTTGTTAAATTTTATTTTATGTTACGAGACTACTTTTGTGTGTTTGTTCCTCCATTTAGTTTTGAACAAAAATTTCATCAATTTTAATGCATTAGATGTTGCTCAAAAATCTACATTAATTTAATGTTTTTAATATTAGACTCGTGATATCAGTTTTCACAAATTGTTGAATATTATAATTATATATGCATGTTTTGTGTATTTCATCATTTGTATATATTGCTTTTTTATTTTATTTGATATTCGACTGAAGAAAATTGTATATTTTGTTATGTTTGAAGCAGTGTAATATTTCATTGTTATCAAAAGACATTTCTTGGTTCCATTATTTTTGAGAAATAAAGTGTTTTTGTTTTTTGATCAAGATATCGAGCTAAATTTAATTAAATGCACAACATTACTTTATTACAGTGGGAATTTTATCCAAAGGTATCGAATTTGATTCCAGCTATCACTGTAAGGGCAAACCATATATAAACTTCATGAAGTGCTCACAGTTGTTTGACATTCTTGTCAGTAGAAGGGGATGTGCCAGTATCATCTACACAAAGTTTACTAATTTACCCTGGTTGGGTGAAGAATTGTACTGTGCGCCAAAGAAAAAAAAACCCGACCACCCTGAAGAACTTTTGATCTAAGGATTGAATCTTAACGATCTAGGACAAAATCTTAATCGCTCGAGGGGGTGACCTCAAATATATTAAATAATAAGCTCAGACGATATTTTAAGTTACGAAATCAGACACAAAAACGTACTTTCTCTGAATAAACATAACTTTTCCCCCCAACGGATTCGGATTTCTGACCCCCAAAATGTGGGGTTACCCGCAACCTGAGAAATATTGTTTCTATAGTTTGGTCAGCAGAGCGTTTTAAAGTTTGAATACCTTGATGTTAATTTTACTTTCTGCGTATTTCGCTATATCTTAAGAACTTAGAAAGCGAATAAATAAAAAAAATTTCACACAAATATAACATTCGTTTGTCCAAAGATTAAAAAATAATAACCTTTATTAAATATTTATTATATTATTTAATAATGGTCGAAATTTTTTTTAATTCTAAGGTAAGCAATTTTTTACATGATTTTAAAGATTTCGATTTTAAATAGCAAAATGATGCAAAAATTTATGTATCTCATAATTCAAAAATTTTTCGACCATTATTAAATAAAATGAGAATAATAAATATTTACTAAAAATTATTTTTTGCATGAAATTATCTTTGCATAAACGAATTTTATTATTATGTACAAAAAGTTCTTAATATTAATAAAGTTTAAAATTAATATTAAGGGATCCAAACATTAGAGCGCTCTCCTGGCTAAACTAATGAGACCACATTTCTCAGATTGCTGCTACCTCCTATATTTTGGGGGTCAAAAACCGAATCCGTAGAGGATAAAAAAAAATATGTTTGTTCAGAGAAAATACGTTTTCGTGTCTGATTTCGTAACTTAAAATATCGTCTACATTTTGAAGTATATTTGAGAGCAGTCTCTCGAATCATTAAGATTTGAGTCCTGGAACGTGGAGATCCGATCCTTAGATCAAAAATTATTTAAGTTGACTCGGTTTTTTTCTCGCACTGTATAGATCTAAATACTTTTATTCCCCATTATTCGCTAAAAACAATATTAAAAAATAAAAACTCCTATACTAGCGATTAACGTAAGTGGATGTAACAAGTACATTTTCCAAGCTTAACTCTACCACCTCAAATATGGAAGTTCATATTGTAGGGGTGAATGACTTTTTCTTGGAAAATAGTAAATGCAATGAAATCTCAAAAGACAACACAAACTAAATTACATATGGGAAAAAAAAAGCCTTACTTAAATTACACAATGTTGTGAGTTCCATATATAATCGTCTGAAAAAATCGACCTGTTACAGATTTCAGTAAATCTTTTGTACGTTATTATTGACAACAATTTATGACCCAAACTTAAAAAAACATGACTCGACGAGGTTCTGCAAGTGTCGCTCTTAATAGGTTTAAATGTATGAAGATTTTTAATGCTATAATATAGTGTATGTTAAACCAAAAACAAATTCTTTGCTGGGCTCGATATGGTGGCTCAAGAACTACAAATATTTCTGTAGACGTGAAACCTCATTTAAGATTAATGCTAAACTATAAAAAAAACTATTCCTCTATGTATTTTAAAAATAGTATTTTATAGCTTATAACTATCATAATTACTTTAATTAGCTTCTATTTATAAAGTCGGGGGTTTCATCGAAAGAAAATATTCGTGCTTGTATAATGTGTGGTTGGTTGCACAACAATCCGGAGAACATTTCTTACTGCTTCAGATTTGTGTCTATTGATCAAGTGGCCTCACAAATGAGATCGCCTCTGCAGAGGATCAAAATTGTGATGGCATGCCTTAGTATTAACCACAGGGATGCTTTTTAGACCTTCACCAATAGACCATTGGGCAGTTCTAGTGCGACGTAAATAAAGAAACTACCGCCGAAAGAAATGGTTATTTAGGTTTCCGTAGTCGGAAAAAAAAAATAAGGAACCGCTGTCCTAGACGTATGTTATTTAGCAGAAATTACTGCTCGTAGCCAGTTGCACATTATTGGCTATCGAAATAGGCTACAGGTGGCGCGGAACAGAACTTTTTTTTTATCTAAGGTAACACTTCACGTGCTTTCACCATTAGCGTGTGGACAGTCATATGAGAAGGAACACAGATTGAAATGCTAGTTTATGAAAATGTTCGCAGCTCGAAATGCGTGTTTACGAAAATGGTTACAGCTGGAAATATGTATTTATGAAAATCGGTATAGTGTTTGATTCAGTTTTCCGAACTTTTCTTACGAGTATTTTTTTTTTCAAAGAATAAATAATGAATCGAAATAAATTCGTAATGTGTCAATTTGAATAAGTCACCTGGTAAATTTTTTTAAAAATTTTTCGTCAAATTGTTTTTCACGGTTGCAATAAATTTATGATAGTACTTTGACGTTAATGGAATTTAAGAGTTTTAAAATTCACTTTATTGTTTAGAATTCTGAATCCGTATACATAGCCTGAAAAGTTACCACGACCTCTGAAGCAAAGAATATCGAATTCTTTGCTCGAAGTACGGGACTTTGCCCTGTAAGGATTATGCTCAACTGTGGTTGGTAAGTGCTTCAATGCCAAACTTGGTGAGTGCTTCAACGTGAGGTTAATATGATATTCCTGACTTGCGACATTATTGCCATTTCATCTTGAGCTACTATCAACATGACTGGTAATACCGAATTATTAGAATTGATAGCTATTAATATATTAGAAATTAACCAAAGAAATAATGAGGAAAAAATCTTAACAGTATTTACAAAAAATATTTCAACATGATCCTAGCCGAGTAAGAATGATTGGACTCGGCTATGCTTAATGTAATTCCTTATGGAATAAGTAATTGAAATTTGCAGGAGAGCAATTGATTGCTTTGTAGCAGAATTCAGTCTTTCCTGTCTCCAAATATTCGGTGAATGGTTAATCTTGATATTTCTAACAAACCAAGGAGCTTCAACCTTTTTCTGAGCGTATTTTTTTTCTTCCAAAAATTGTATTTTCTTCTTTTGTGTTTTAAGACTAAGCACGGAAACACGTCATTTTGAGCTGCGTTCAGATTCTATGATCAGATAATATAAAACGGGAACAGATGTGCTTTTTCAATAGAGATCCTCCGCCCACTTCATCAATCGTTCAGGTAGGGGAGAAACTTTTTGACGAGACCTATAAGACAGCTCAAGGGTTTTTATTTTTGCTCCAAGAATTAGGGAATAGTCAGGGCAAGTTGCAATTTTTTTCACAAAAATCTGGGAAACTCCTATTATATAACCAGTCATAACATATAAAATAACCAGTCTTAAAATTGTCAGTAACAGCAATTAGTTATTGAGATTGAGTTAAACAATTCTAAACTCTGTTACAATTATTTGTTGCAAAAATTTTACATTTTAGTCAAACTGAAATGTTTCCATGTCATTTACCGACATATTTTTTTACACAGAAAATCTAATATTTACCATTACAAATAAAATAATCAAAGTTTTCTAATAAAAAATTGCATGATATAGATAAAATATGGTCTTGATTTTAATTTACCTGGAAAAGTCAGGGAATTTTTTTCTGAAATTGAGTGTGTTACCTGTTATAAAGATGTTTATGCTCTTGCCTTTTACCAATATCTAAAAATTATTTATAAGTATATTTTAGCAAACCTTTTATAAATAATGTAATAACAAGAAAAGTTTACATCAAGATGAAATGGAATGTAGAATTATTAAAGTTATGTTCCCAAGAACTGGAAAGGAAATGGTTAAGTACAATTTAACGTACTAATGAAGTCTTTTTAACTACTATTTGAATACTTATGTAAAATGAAAAATTATGTAAACTGTTAATAAAAAAATTGTTTTATTACAACAAGTTAAAAAATCCTTAAAATTTTTTACTTAAGTCTGTCACAAAGCTTTTGAACTCTAAAGAGTATTATCTTGCAACTATATTCAACATATATTGTTAAATACCGATAAATTACAAAGCTTTCAATTTTTTCCCCCAACTATCACTGTAAAGTTTTGAAATTTGAAAAAAAAGGAACATATTAATTACCGAACAAAGCATTGATGAAATTTAAAAGAAATATATGCTAAAAAATTATTTATGTTATACATGCTAAAAATATTTTTCTTTTCATCTTATTTATGAGAGACATTAAAATATTCGGTGAATAGCCAGCAAAAGGATTCATTTAATTCAAAAGTGATTTAAATGACACTCAAGTAAAAAGAATAAATAATAATAGAAAATAACTCCAATATGATTAAAATATATTCACTTAAATTATGCTAAATATGAATGAAAAATGATTGAAATTCACTCAAGTTCGAGTTAAAAGGGTCCAATCAAGTGCTTGTTAGACTAAAATAAAAGACTATAAGTTATCTACAAAATAATACATGTTTAATGTTATACCTGCTTTTTACTTCTAGAAACATATTTAAATGGAAATGATTTTAGAAACATTATTTGATTAATATATAAATAATAGTATACATATCCTTTGACAGTCGCATTTATTACAATTGCATCCAGTAATAGTCAATTCATTCAGTATTTTGTTCCAAACATAACAAAAGAATATGCTTATAGCAATTTTACTTACGTACAGAGTCACTATTTTTTACGAAACAATATTCTTAAAGCGATTTCGCTTACGTTTAGAGTCACTAATTTTATATGTTTGATCCCTGGGTTTTCTAGTTCATAAAATAGCGCGTTACTAACAGAGCCAATTTTGGCTCGTTGGCTGAAAGTTCTTCAAATGATTCCATTTTGACCACAGTTTTAAAGTTCTCCTTTATGAATTTCAGTATATTTTCTTTAAATGATTCATCACCATGTCGATTGGCCAAACTCAACATCTGGCACGCATTATCTACTTTCAGATGTACCAGCAAATCCCTTTTACAAGCATCGCGGAGTGACAAAACTTCATATTTATCTGCAGCATAATAGAGGTCGCAAGCGTCGTCAAAATCATGAGTTTTCGTCGCTCCAGAGTAGAGATACAGCAAGAGATCGTTCATTATTTCAGCTCGTATATCCGGGATAACAATGATATTCCTTGCAGATTCGCTAGTATCATAATTGAACATTCTGTCAAATACTGGTGATCTTGCTTGCAGAATGTTTCTGTGCGATTTGATCTCAACTCCACTAACATCTAATGTGACATCTGAGGTAATAGTTTGATCCAAAATTTTTGAGAAGTCATTTGAAAGCTTTTGCAGTTTTTCCAATCCCAAGTTGTTCGGAGTTAAACTTTCGGTCAAATCCGATTCGGTAGAATTCTTAAACTCCAAGTAACAAATTATTTTGATAGGAAATTGCTGAGGCAAGAAATCTTTTGGCTTAAGAAATAAATCAAGAAGTTTACCTCTTATGGAAGATCTAACATTACAATCAAGGCAGCTGTTATTCCCATCGAATATTAGACACGTAGAATTTATAAATAGGTCAATTGATTCTACTATACAACGTAGCATAAAATTATCAAAGTAATTGAGTAATATCAGATGGTTGCTTTCACTTTCACCCGTGACAGAAAAGTTTTCACTCTCAAAGACACCATTTCTTTCTATATCATCTTTCTTAAATCGCAATTCAATAAAGATCAAATTCATGGATGAGCTTTTAAAATGAATTATCCTCTGAAAGACACCAGACATGATGAATGTTAAATTTAGTTTTCAAAGGAAAAAAAAATAAATAATTTTAAAACCGATATCTTCACCGATATCTAATCTATAAAGAACAATAGTGTCTTTATAATATTATCATTTTGCAGAATATTTCATCAAAAAGTTGATATAGTCTTACTGTTAACTATTCACTCTTTTATTAGATATTAATTTTTACAACGATAAGATGTAATCATATCCTAAAGTATCATTTCTGTGTTATCGCATTTATGAATGGTGTTCTATAATAACAAAGAATAAAATTTACTTATTTTAAGGACACCGATAAATCGAAAATAAGGTTACTAAGTCAGTGTGTTCCAAACTGTGGGGCGCGCCTCCCTAGGGGGGCGCGAGACTGTTGTAGGGGGGGGGGGCACGCAGCTGATTCCAAAGTATCATTTTCGAATACAAACCAAAGAAGTCGAATAGGTGTCAAAAAAATTAATCAGAAAAACGGTTATACGTAATCTTCGCCGCGAATTTCTCGGGTATAAATGCTAAAAAATCCATCCATACTCTTGCTGGAACGAAAACATCTTGCTTTCCCGTTTGGAGCCGAGCGCGAGGAAACACTAGACAAGCACTCGGATCATCCCGGGTATTCTCGGGGTTACTCCCGCCAAACTTCAGCAAACAGAAGCAGGCAGCAGGCCCCGACAAGGCTTATGAGCCAAGGCCGTCGTTAATTCNTCCTAACAATTCTCTACAAAAATAAATAGCTTGTAATATATTATGTTTAGATGCTAGATGTATAATAAGAAGCTGCATCGTAAAACATATTTTATACCATTAATTCCTCCGTCACTTTATTTAGTGTATTATTATTATTATAAAAACAAATTAAAAATACATATAATATTAAATACATATAATTAAATTAAAATAACTTTTCAGATTTATTTCTTTTTTTAAGCTTATAGAACACTTTTTATAAATAAAAATATTTATACAGTATAACTTAAAAGTTTATGAGCACTAAATGAAAACACCCAATTTCCCCCGGGATTTTTCAAAGCCTGAAAAACAATAAAATAATTAATTAGAAAAGCTTTGACCAATATTTTCTAATCATAATCTTAGAAACTTATAAGTTTTAGTTGGTGCACTCTTATCCAAATTATACTTCAGTTTTTAAAGTTATTTTAAAGATAAAAAAAAAAGTGAATAGCTTTAATATTTTGTATATTAACACATTTTGATATTATTTTTGACATTTAAATTTCCCTTTTTTATCTACAAATTTTTATTATTATTTTCAGCAAACAAAAAATTCTTTAAAAAAGTTTTAATAACCATAAAAATTTCTTTGATTTTGAACCTTTAGTGTCTAGTTTAATTTTCCTTTAGTATACTCTTTTAACATAAGAAACACATATCATNTTTTATTATTATTTTCAGCAAACAAAAAATTCTTTAAAGAAGTTTTAATAACCATAAAAATTTCTTTGATTTTGAGCCTTTAGTGTCTAGTTTAATTTTCCTTTAGTATACTCTTGTTATATAAGAAACACATATATCATACTTTATACATAATACATACCTTACTTGATATCCAACACATTAAAAAAAAAAATTGTAGTAGTAATGAATTAAAATCATTCTTGTACCATAAACTAAATCTTCTATATTAAGAACTTTTATTTAGAGAATTATATTACAAAACTGGATTAAATTTAGGTAAATAGAATATCATTGTTTTCAGAAATTGAAAAGTTTAACTAATTTCTTTTTTTAAAATTGTTTAATATTTTCATATTGCTTATTTTACTTTTAGACATAGTTTTAAAATCTATATAACCTTTTACTACAATTCACTTACATAAATATTTTGATAAATTATGTATACTTATATCATTTTGAGCACAATTTTGAATGTTTTAAAACGAATTAACTGTTAATAAGCACACAGAATTAATTTTTATGAAAAGTATTTATACATACACTCATAACTACAATGCTATGAACCTTGTTCACACAATAAATTACATTAGAAACATTTCACCTTATAAAAAATTATTTAAGAACCTAGTGAACCATAACATTTAACATCCCAGCCAACAAGTAAACGGTTCTGAACAAACAACTTTGACAATGAATTTACGTCATTAATTAGAAATTATTCCGTTCATAATATTTAAAATTAGAGAAAAGTTAAAAACTACTAACTTAATTATAATTCAAAACCAGCTACATATGATCTTTTATAATGGAGTGTTCTTTTGGTAATGTAGGCTTAACCTAAGTATAAAAGTTAAACATTGCAATTAGAAATGAAGATCTGACATAATATTAATAGAGTTTATACAAGTAAATAGAAGATGAATAAACTTTGCTTACCTAAATTAAATCGGTAAGGTGACTTTTGACGACAATATTATGTTTTTAGTAGAAGATATAACACGCTTAACACATACAAATCGTAAAGCGTGACGTCAGAGCTGAAGATCACGTGACAAGCGTTCATATCGATTAACTTTGTTGATAACAATATTAAGTTCGCTTCACCTTCCAATCCCGTTCAATATCGTTCTCACGGAATTCTATTTTTTACTTTCACTAATGTGAGCAAGTATAAAGAAATTTTACTCATTTTTATCTTTCTAACAAATATTTTGAACTTTGAAACTAAAATATATTTAATATAGAGTGTTTTAAGAAAAATACTTTTAAAGTTTCATTGGCGGAATTCATTCAATAACTTGCTCACAGTATCTATATTCCTCCGCTTTCAAAATATTGATAGGAACAGCCACGGTATAGATCGATGTTTCTGTGCTACTTGGGTAAGTAGTAAAAATTTTAAATCCAATTCAAATATTTCTTTTTAAAAAAATAGGATATATTTTCGTTTAGCAATAATTAAATTTATTATTTTTGAGGTTATTTCTGTCTTATTTTTGTATGTATTTATATTCCAATTTGTATATTAATCTACATTCTAATAAACTTGTTTTTTTACTTAAATGGCATCACTCAACTCAGTAAACACGAATCTCAAATAAATAAATAAATGCAAAGGTAAAGATAAAAAAAAAACACTTAAAATCATATATATTTCAATTTGCTATAAATATTAGGAATCACTGTACTAAGTTGAGGATTTACTGAAAATTTAATTAAAATTATCTTATTACTTCAGCGTTAGAACTGTTGCCACAAGTGTCAAAAGATTGGCAATTTTTTATGCTAAATTTTTAAACACGTGTCCTAATTTTGCAAATTAGGGTGATTCAAAATAGCATGGATAAAATGAAAAGACAACGCATGCTTATAAAAAGAATAAAAGAAAAATAAATAAATAAATAAAATAAAAAATAAGTAAAGAAATTAAAAAAATATATATAAAAAAAGGATAAAAACACTTACCATCGTATATATTTGTTATAAATTTTAGGAATCGCTGTACAAAGTTGAGGATTTACAAAAAATTTCGTTAAATTTACCTTGTTACTCCATCGTTAGAACTGTTGCCACAAGTGTCAAAAGATTGGAAATTTTTAATGTATAATTTTTAATCACGAGTCCTAATGGCAAAATAGCAATATAGCAGTCAAAATAGCACGGATAAAATGAAAAAACAGTGCAAGCTTTGAAATAGAATAAAAGCAAAAAAAAAANAAAAAAAAAAAAAAAAAAAAAAAAAAAAAAAAAAAAAAAAAAACATCAACCCTAATAGGAATATGGAGTCATCAACACTAGCGGGTGTCGCAAGTGTTATATGCAAAGACAAAAAATAAAAAAAGAATCCTTTTACATTATCAAATTTATGCTGTATTTCAACAAAGGCTACGCATCTACGAACAATGACTAAGTTTTTTTCCTTCTAAACACTATCATGAGACTGCACATTTGAAAAAATGCATTATTTTCTAATATAATAGCACTTGATGTCTAAAGGCGTAAAGCAAAACTGTAAATAGTATATTGGTTGTAGAGATGCCGTGAATGGCCAAAACAGTAAAAAGAAATGACTAATGAATAACAAGAAATCTATAAAAAAAATTAAAATTTAGTACCTTTTTCTAGCATATTTCTTACAGTAATTTCTATCATATATCTATAAAAAGAAATTAAATTTAGCAACTTTTTCGAGCATATTTCTTTCAGTTTACTTTTGAAAGTTGAGGCAAAGAATGTTTTCGCTTTAAATATGAATAATTTGTAATGTAAATCATGGTAGTTTTAGTTTAAGGCTTTTTTTCGAAGACTGCGTCGAAATACGAAGGCTCCGTCTTTTCTGCGAATAACATGTTATTTTTATAACTGTTGTTAGTTTGCAACTGTTACTTATGACTGTTAGGTCATGTTTAGCTTATCTAATGGAGTCAATATGGAAAAAAGCCATAGTACTGTGAAAATAAAAAGCGTTTGCTGTCTATTTTTATCATAATTTTTTTTTTAATATTTACAAACTCCAATGCTGCATGACCTAGGCTCATAAAAATTTGTAAAATCTGTGAATGAGTCAGTGATTTTGATAATTTTCAACCAAGTGGATAAATAGTGCTAAATTAGCGATCTGAAGTCCAGAGTGGTGAATTTCAGTTTTTTACGAAATCTGAGAACATAATTTGGTTCGGAAAAGCAGGAACATTTAAGCCAGACATATTGCAAAGGGAGGGAGGAGGGGTGCAAAATTTTTAAAACCAACATTTATACACTAAAGTATAGATATTTAGAAAACTTTTTCTCAACTACTTTACAATTTGTCAGCTATAAATATGCTTCAAGCGATGCTCTGTGATTACGCTTGGTTTGTTTGCCTACGGTTGCATAATTTGTTTACGGATCGAACAAATAACATTTGGATGTTGAAAATTGTCACCAAGGTATTTTTTTCAACCGAAAATATTAAAACTGATTGCTCAGTTTTTTTTCTTTAGAATTTAATTCAGAGAAGCAAAAATTTTTTTTTACCTAAAATAATCATAAATGTATGATTTTTTTCTACTTAAAGTAGTAAGTTCTACTTAAATAATAAGCATGCTATGCCAGGCTTATTATTATTATTTATTTATTTATNTTTTTTTTTTTTTTGATTCTGGAATTTATGTCTCATATAAAGCACATAAATAAATATAAAAGCACATATACATTATATAAATAAACTAAAGATTTATTTGTGTATGATGCGGGTGTTAGGGGTAACTAATAAATTATATCACACGTTACATTATGTGTAAATATCATACATATGTGTTTGTTAGACTAATATAAAAGACTAAATTATCTACGAAGTAATATTTAATGTTATACATGCTTTCTACTTTTTGAAACTTATTTAAATAGAAATTATTGTAAGAGCGTTATTGGTTTATGAGATAAATAATAATATACATATCCTTTGACAGTAGCATTTATTACAATTACATCCATTAATATTTAATTCATCCAGTATATTGTTCCAAAGATAACAAAAAAATATGCTTATGGCAATTTTGCTTACCTATAGAGTCACTAATTTTTACAAAAGAATATGCTTATAATAGCAATTTTACTTACGTGCAGTTACTAATTTTTACGATAGGATATTCTTATTGCAATTTTGCTTACGTATAGAGTCACTAATTTTATCCGTTTGATCCCTGGGTTTTCTAGTTCATACAATAGCGCGTCACTAACACCGACAATTTTGGATCGTTGGCTGAAAGTTCTTCAAATGATTCCAGTTTGATAACAGTTTTAAAATTTTCCTTTATGAATTTCAGTATATTTTCTTTAAATGTCTCATTACCATGTCGATTGGCCAAACTCAACATCTGGCACGCATTATCTACTTTCAGATGTACCAGCAAATCCCTTTTACAAGCATCGCGGAGTGACAAAACTTCATATTTATCTGCAGCATAATAGAGGTCGCAAGCGTCGTCAAAGTCATGAGTTTTCGTCACTCCAGAGTAGAGATACAGCAAGAGATCGTTCATTATTTCAGCTCGTATATCCGGGATAACTATGATATTGCNTTCTAACTTCTTAACTTTTGAATGAGACTTGTTTTTTATATTATAATATTCTTCCGAATTTAAAAATAAATTAATATCCATAACTTTCAAAATTAAAAATAATTAAATAAATAACAACAATTTCGCAAAAACATTAAAGAACATAAGAATATTATTCAATTAAAGTTTAGGTTACTTTGAATTTTCGATTTCCTAGAAATGTACTTTTAAGTCGTTACTTTTTTTGTTCAGTACTTGTACGTTTACTTGTACTTTTTACTCGTTACTTTTTAAAATAAGAACTTTTTACTTGTTACTTTTTTTAAAAATACTTGTACTTTTACTCGTTACTTTTTAAAAGTAACGTTGCCATATATGGACAGTAGTAATAGAACAACGTAATGTGCAGCATATTATGACGTCAAGCACTTTTCTTAGAAATTTATCATGTGATGTTTCACCCCCTCCCATAAAACCTAAATTTTTTGTGAAGAACTATTTATTTATATCTAACTGAAACTTGTGGACGATGAGAACGTGGTGGATGATACTGACGAAGATGATAAAGTTCATCCAAATCACACAGCAGTATTAGAAGCTGTAGACACTATTCGTGACTATTTACAGTTCAATTTAGCTTCTGAAACTACCCCTTATCCCATTTATATGAACTGGAAAAAACTGTTTTTGAAATACGTCGGCAAAAACAAATACAAACATGTATTAGGGATCATTTTGTAAGAAAATAAATTGTCTTAAGGTATATTAAATTTTTTTCTTCGTATAATTATAGTAAATACCAAAACAGTATAAATATTAACATTTAATCTTTAGAAACATATTNACTAACATCTAACGTGAAATCTGAGGTAATAGTTTGATCCAAAATCTTTGAAAAGTCATTCGAAAGCCTTTGTACTTTTTCCAATTCCAAGCTGTTTGGAGTTAAACTTTCAGGCAAATCCGATGGAGTAGAATTCTTAAACTCTAAGAAACAAATTATTTTGATAGGAAATTGCTGAGGTAAGAAATCCTTTGGATTAGGAAATAACCTAAAAATTTTACCTTCGATGGCAGATCTAACAAAACAATCAAGGCATCTGTTATTCCCATCGAATATAAGACACGTAGAACCTGTAAATAGGTCAGTTGATTCTACTTTACAAACTAGCATGAAATCACCCAAATTATTGAATAATTTCAGACAGTTGCTTTCTTTTTCAACCGTGACAGAAAAGTTTTCACTCTCAAAACAACTATCAATATCATCTTTTTTAAATCGCAATTCAATATTGATCAAAATCCTGGATACATTTTTAAAATAAGTTATTCTCTAAAAGACGCCAGACATGATGAGTGTTGAGTTTAGTTTTGAGAGGAAAAAATAATCATTTTAAAAGTGTTCCCTTCAACGACATCTAATCTACAATAGAGTCCCCATAATTGCGGAATATTTCATCACAAAGGTGAAATGCAAACTTTTTTAGATAATGATTATTTCTACGATAAGAGATGTAAGCACATCCTAAAGTATCCTTTTTGTGTATCGCATTTATGAAAGGTTCTATAATCACAAGAAGAATTAAAACTACTTATTTTAAGGTTTTAGACACCGAAAAATCGAAAATAGTGTTAGTATGTCGTAAGAATTTAAAATCCAATTCATCTAACATCTAACGTGACATCTGAGGTAATAGTTTGATCCAAAATCTTTGAAAAGTCATTCGAAAGCCTTTGCAGTTTTTCCAATTCCAAGCTGTTTGGAGTTAAACTTTCAGGCAAATCCGATTGAGTAGAATTCTTAAACTCTAAGAAACAAACTACAGTGACCTCTCATTTATGCACCACCTCTTTTATGTGCCTTTTTCATTTATACGAAGATTTTTATTGGTCCCAGTACATCAGGTAGGGAAATAATGATAAATATCCTTCGCTTATGCGTCGCTCTAAAAATAAAATTTTCAATTATGCACCGAAATTTTAGGCTAACATTTTAATTTTTTTACCCTTTAAATATTTTTTTTCTTTTTCTGAAAAAAAATTTTAAAATTAAAAATGAAGCAAATAAGCAATCCTTGTTACAGATAAAAAGAAATATATGTTGTTAACTATCATTGAATTTTCTTCCCCCTGTGACCTTTTCATTTTTGCTGTTTCTGGAAAGAATTTTGAATAGTGTGTCTTATCTGTTGCACCAACAACAATGAAAGTCCATTTATCTTTAAGAAAATAACCATTCCTATTGTCCAGAGGTTAGTTTTACTCCGATGCTGTTTTCTAGAAAAGAAAGACACCTGGAATACGAAAGATGAAAGAGACCGCGTTCTCTTACTTGCAGTCAGATGGACATCATGAGTAAATAAAAGGAGCTGGTCTGTTCCATACAGTATTTCAACTCTATGGTCTGTTCAGTGACAGTAGCATATATGGCAGTACTTTTACTTTCGTTACTTGTACCGCCGGTACAAGTAAAAAGTACGTACTTTTACTTGTACTTCGTTACTTTTTAAATTTAGTACTTTTACTTGTACTTTCGTTACTTTTTCAGGGAAAAAGTACAAGTATTTGTAACGGAAATGTCGAATGAAATCGTTACTTTTTTCTAAAACTCGGTAAGCTTTCTAAAAAAAAATTTAAAAAAATGCTGTCAAAATGCAATTATTTTGCAAAATGAATAAAAATATTAATTTGGAAGTTATTTTCATTCATTTCCGAGTTTTATGCATTTGTTTAATACATTTTAAATAAAAATTGTTGGATTTTGTTATTACGTTTTTCAATTTTCTTTTTGATCTCACTAATAATACATTTTTGTCTTAATACATTTTTTACTAAATACATTTTTACCTAGTACATTTTTTCCTAAAATTATGTTTATGCCCGACCTTGTCAAACAACGCCCAGTCAAATCTCTAAGAACTTC